TTAAACACCACATTAGCTGCTGCCTACCTACACCGTTTGACCTTTAGCATTTTCATTATCATTCCATTCTAAATATTTCACGTTTTTATTATGATTTCTTCATCATGAATTACTTAAAACTTTTAGAATTTTCAAATGTGTTTGAGTTTTTTTTTTTAAGATTTATTTATTTATGCATACAAGAGCTGGGGTACTGGCCAGAAATGCTGGGGTGAGAGGATTCACCAGAGACAGAGTGGGGAATAGAACAAGCAGATTAACCGAAATACACTGCTGAGGGAAGCAGTGGGTGAGTCAGGAGAGGTCTGCTGTGCCATGTGGGTTGCTCCCTGGCCTGCCCGCGGGGGAGGGAGGGAATCAAACTCATGCTGCAGAGACTGCTGATAGCTTCATAGTGCAGTGCTTAACCCCTTGCGCCACCAGGGAGGCCCTGAGTTGTATTTTTGATATTGTTTTCTTTTTTTTTCTTTTTTTTTTTGTGTTTTTTTTTTTTTTTTAAAGATTTATTATTTATTTATTTATACAAGCACTGGGGTACAGTCGGAAGCACGGGAGGGTGAGAGAATTCACCAGAGCCAGAGTGGGGAGCAGAACAGGCAAAGTGATGAAATACACTGCTGAGGGGAGCAGCGGGCATGGCAGGAGAGGTCTGCGCGCCATGTGGGACCCTCACTGGCAGCCGGGGATCGAACTGGCGCTGTAGAGGCTGCAGGCAGCTTTGCAGCCCAGTGCTCAACCGCTGCGCCACCAGGGGAGGCCCTGATATTGTTTTCTAACTTAGTTGCAATCTAATCAGAAAACATTGGATAGTACCAATTCTTCATTAAGTCTTGCTCTATGACCTGTATTGTGGTAAATTTTTATGTATAAATTCTTTTTTTTTTTTTTAAAGATTTATTTATTTATTTATTTATTTATTTATTTATTTATTTATACATACATACAAGCACTGGGTACAGTCAGAAGCGCGGGAGGGTGAGAGAATTCACCTGAGCCAGAGCGGGGAGCAGAGCAGGCAGAAAGACCGAAGCACACTGCTGAGGGGGGCAGTGGGCGGCAGGAGAGGTCTGCGCGCCATGTGGGACCCTCCTCCGGTGGCAGGGGGGCAGCCGGGGATCGAACAGGCGCTGCAGAGGCTGCGGGCAGCTTCGCAACCCAGCGCTCAACCGCTGTGCCACTGGGGAGGCCCCTATGTATAAATTCTTAAAGAAAAAACTTTTGGATGCAGGGATAGCAAAGTGTGTGTGTTTGTGTGTGTATTAGATTAAGCTCACTAGTTATTCTCTATCATTATTATTTGGTACACTTGATATATCAGTAACTTCTAAATTATATTAAAATTTCCCACTACCAAGACAGATTTGTCAGTTTTATTTCTGTTATTTCTTGTTTGAAATATTTTGAGAACACATTTCCCAAAACAAACTGTGGGCTGGGGGGAATGGGGGGTTTGGCAGTTGAACCTTGACCTCTGGATTATAAAACCAGTCAAGTTTGCACTTTTACTTCAGAGTATCCTGTTTGTTGAAGTGGAACTTTCTGAATGGGAAGCCTAGGTGCTGCCTGCTTGGTGAAAAAAAAACATTTCACCTAGGACACACAAATTTAAAATTGTCACATCTTCCTGGAAATTATTTTTATTATCATTATGTAGTCATTCTCTTAATCTCTAATAATACTTTTTGCCTTAGATTCCCTATGTCTAATGTTAATATAAAGATTAATAGTTTCTTGCCAGTAGTTTTTTTTTTTTTAATGTAATAGTCTTTTTTTTTTTTAAACATTTATTTATTTTTATACAGGAATTGGGGTACAGGTCAGAGATGCACAGGGGGGTGAGAGGATTCACCAGAGACAGTGTGGAGAATAGAACAGGCAGACGGACCGAAGTACACTGCTGAGGGGAGCAGCGGGTGAGACAGGAGAGATCTGTCCCACAATGTGGGTTTCTCCCTGGCTGACCGGGAATCGAACTTGTGCTGCAGTGGCTGCAGATTTCTTCATAGGTTTCATCTTAACCCCTGCGCCACCAGGGAGGCCCGCCAGTAGTTTCTTTACTGGGTTTTCTGTTCACCTCGTCCTCTCAGTTTGTTCTCTATGCACAATATTATTCTTCAAAGCTGTAAATCTTTAAAAAGTAAAAAAAAAAATAAAGAATCAGATCATTTGATTCCTATTGTCTATGAGACAGTCTTCTCCTACTTCCTGCTTCCATTTCTGCCTGGTGAACTCTGCCTTATCTCCTGTAGTCCCTGCTCAGGTGTTGTCTTCATATGTGTTTCTCCCTTTGTCTCCCAGATAGGATTAGTTACTCCTCCTGTGTATGTTCATATCTTCTTTTGACCTTTTTTATTGAGGTAAATTTTATATTCAATGACATATACAGACCATAAGGATACAATTTGATGATTTATTTTGGTTAAATTTATATATACCTTTGTAATCACCACTCTAATCAAGATAAAGAATATTTCCATTGGCCCGGATAATTATTTTGTGCCCACCTCTACTCACTCCCCATATCAAAACCCCATAATTGTGTATGCTTGTTGATTTCTACCATCGTAAACTTGTTTTGCCTGTTCTTGAATTTTATATAAATGGACTCATACATTACAGTATCTTATATCTCACTTCCTTCACTCAACCTAATGTTTTTGACACTTACCATTTGAGGGCATATCTATAGTTGATTCTTTTTTATTATGAGTAATGTAAGAATATACAACAATGTCCTCACCCATTCTGCTGACAGGCATTTGGATCTTTGCCAGTTTGAAGCTGTTATTAAAGCTGCTGTAAACATTCTTGTCCCCAGTCCCTTTGCAGACATGTTTTCATTTCTCTTAAGCAAATACCTAGCAGGAGAATCCCCAGTCAAAAGACTGGTAGATGTTTAACGGTATGAGAAATTGCCAACAATATTTTTTAATATAATAGCATTTATCACAAGTTGTAATTTCCTGTTTCTTCTGGGGACTGAAAGTTTTCTCAAAACTACAACACATCTTACTCTTTGTATTTACACCAGGGGTCAATACAATACGTCTTCATGTAATAGTTCTTGGAAATTGTGGCTTTTAAGTGAAATTACATATAAGGAAAGCAGGTTCTCAATTAACATTGTTTTGCTTAGTGTCAGCCAGAATTGACTTTTCTTCTCATCAATGTTACAACAAAACCATATTGAACAAAACTGTTATTTGAGGGCGTGTTGTGTAGGATCCAGCACACATTTGGTTCTCATGAGTCATTTTTTACTTTTTTTTTACTTTTCATTTTTATTATTTTTTTTGCACCAACTTTTTTTTTTAAAGATTTATTTATTTATGCATACAAGATGGGGGTACAGGCCAGAGGTGCGAGGGGTGAGGTGTTATAAGGCAGCCCTGATATTAAACGGGGTGCCTGACTGTGGGTCCTCACCCGCGTGCTTAAAAGGACTTATTAATGCTCTACTGCAGGCACACGTGAAAGGTTAATAAAAGGTTTATTTACAAGGGGAGGGGAAATGAGGAAATGTACAGCTCAGGGAGAAAAGTGGGAGACAAAGTTTTAAATGAGTCCTACCCGATCCGCCGATCTGGAATCCCAAATGGCACTCAGAGCTGGCTGCAAGCCAGGAGCTGTGAAGCCAGGAGGCGAGCGATAGCGAGCCAGCCCAAGGCCCACGTGTTTGGTTTTCATACCCAACCTGGCGGCTTAACTCCACCCTCAAGTCCCAGCCACCTTCCCTTTGGTGGTGATGGGATTTGTCTTTCCCAATGTCTTGATGGCTTTGGTCTAGAGTGGGAGTGAAGTCTGCAAAGCCTGTATGGGATTAGCTCAGGACATCATTTCCCCCTAACAGGAGGATTCACCAGAGGCAGAGGGGAACAGAACAGACAGATTGACTGAAATACACTGCTGAGGGGAGCAGCAGGCGAGTCAGGAGAGGTCTGCTGCCCCATGTGGGTTGCTCCCTGGCCGGGGATGGAACTCGTGCTGCAGTGGCTGCCATAAACTTTACAGGTTGCGTTTTAACCCCTTGCACCACCAGGGAAGCCCTCTTTTTTTTTTTTTTTTTTTTTTTTTTTTAAGATTTATTTTATTTATGCATACAAGAGTTGGGGTGTAGGCCAGAAGTGCAGGGGTGGTGAGGAGAGTCACCAGAGACAGTGAGGAGCAGAACAGGCTGGTGACCTGAAATACACTGCTGAGGGGAGCAGCAGGCGAGACAGGAGAGGTCTGCAGTGCCATGTGGGTCAGCTCCCTGGCCAGGGATGGAACACATGCTCTAGTAGTGCTGATAGCTTCATAGTGCTGAGACTTAACCCCTTGGGCCGCCAGTGAGGCCCAGTAATTTTTTACTTTTATCGAACTTAGCACATACTGTCTTATTAATTGTATTCATTTTTCTTGTCTACTAGAGTGCAAGATTCTTAATAAGTAGGGACTTGTTTTATTCTTGTTTGTATTTCCTGGAATATCTGTTACATTACTTTGAATGAAAATTGCTCATGATGTTTGAATGAATCAACCATCCTGTCACGTAGAAGGTGAAGATCCTGGGACAGAATAACAGAAGTTTGCCTTCTACCTCTTCTGATTTGGAAGGAAAGAAGGAGAATCAGATTAAGCTTCTATATCTGGTGCCCAAATTTTTGATGAGGGAAGCTCACTGAGGCCTTTGGCCTGAAAAGCGTATTTTGTATCACAGTGCTTTGTTTGATTAGCCTCCATCCAATAATATTTTGCAGCAGTGAGAGCAGGGGTGGGGGTGGGGGGGGGGTGGGGGGGTGTTATCTGTAGTTGGTGTGACTGGTCCCATAGCAGTTTTTTGTTTTTTGGGTTTTTTTGTCCCATAGCAGTTTATGTGGATCAGTAGACAATTTTTATTATGTGTGTGTTGCATCATACACAGATACAAAATTATGTTTTTACTTTGCAGGATGTGTTGCTTGTGAAACAGGAAATAGATGCAGCCTTTGAATATCTGGTATTGTATTCTTATTTTGCAGTTAAATCCAGATGTGAATGTTTTCCAGAGGAAATTTGTGAATGAAGTTAGAAGATGTGAAGAAATGGATCGAAAACTTCGTATGTGCATTTTGGTCTTCTATAATGTTCCTTTTGAATCATTTGTCTTGAATTAGTCCACTTAATAAAGGGAGAAAATATGGGAGAAAAAAAGGGAAAAAAATCACTCTATCCTGATGTTAAAAACATTCCTTTTATGCAAGTAGATTTTGTGGTGTTTGGGGTAGGTGGTCTTCAGTGAAAGCCTTGTTTGACATGACAAGGTTGCAATCTGGGAACACTGGTTATTTGTGTGTATAACATTACTATATTATAGAATTCTGAGAGCTAGAACCCAGACCACCATCAGCTTTAGATGTCAGCATAGTCACCTTTTAATTTGAGCTATTTATGAGAGGAGAAAGGAACGTTCATTAAGATTCTTTTGAGAGTTAGTGTTAATATACTTGCTTCACTCATTCCCCACCACATTCCTTCAATGAAGGTGTTACCTCATTTTGTAAATGAGGAAACCAAAGGTCAGAGAAATGAAGTGACTTGCCCAAGAACATATGTGGTTATGTATTTGAATTGGAGACGTTATTTCTAACTCCAAAACTCAAGATTTTGATACTCTATGCTAGCTGTAAGTTAGCTGATAGGTGAGTTTCTTCCATGCACTAAGAAAAAGTAGTTACCACCCAAAGCACCTTTCCAGTGTTTGGGGACCTGTTCTATATCTTGTTTTCTGTTTTACTTGACACTGAATTGATTGTTTTCAAATTTGATGACACATTTTTGATTTGGAGTCTCACTACTGTGCTAAGTGCCAATATTATCTTGAGAGCATTCTTCTGTAGCTCTGCTCTGCAAGCCAGAACCACTGTACTCTGGGAAGTAGTCACACAGAGGAAGAGCTGGAGCAGGTGAGGACCAGTTTTTAAATCAAAAGCAGGGAGGGCCTCGCCTGGTGGCATAGCGGTTTAGCGCTGGGCTGCAAAGCTGCCCACAGCATCTGCAGTGCTGGTTCAATCACTGGCCACCGGGTGAGGGTCCCACATGGCGCGCAGACCTCTCCTGCCGCCCGCTGCTCTCCTCAGCAGTGTATTTCATCACTCTGCCTGTTCTGCTCCCCACTCTGGCTCTGGTGAATTCTCTCACCCTCCCGCGCTTCTGAATGTACCCAGTGCTTGTATAAAAATAAATAAATAAATCTTTTAAAAAAAAAAACATAAAAAAAAATCAAAAGCAGGGAACTCTTCAGAGTAACTGCTCTGGAGAGTGTGAGGTAAGAGGAAGAGGGCCATGGAGGGAAAAAAAAGGATTATATGTTCTTTTCCTATTACAAAAAAGTTTCTATCTTATAATGAAGCTCTTTTTAGCCAGGTTTTTGGGTTTATTTTTTTCCTTCAGATATCAGCAATCCCAGGCATAGTAGTTAGACATGAATGTTTCGCTTCTGTCATTTTAGGATTTGTTGAGAAAGAGATAAGAAAAGCTAATATCCCAATTATGGACACTGGCGAAAACCCAGAGGTGCCCTTCCCCCGGGACATGATTGACTTAGAGGTAAACAATCTTCTGAGGAAGCCAGATACAGTTCTTTCTACTTAAATGCAGAAATCTACTTAAATTGTCTCCTTATAGGCAATCCCTTCTTATTATCGTTTATTCTTTTTGTTGTTGTTGTTGTTGTTACTATTGGCTGGTATATTTCTGTTGTATCCAGCACCTTAACTAAAAATTCTTATTTGTCACCTTTATAATTATGACTTTATATAACACCCCTGTTTATTTACTTGTTTTGACAGTAATTATCCCTACTCTGAATAATAATAATATAATTTCTATTTTATGTCCTCTTCTTTACTTAATAATTTTTGTTGCTAATATTCACTTTATCAGTATTTATATTTATTTTCAAAAATTTTACTAGTGTCTTTAAGATACTATTCCCCCACCCCCATCCCTCGTGTCCACTGTCCCTTTGCCCCCTCCCTTTTTCACCTCAGAGCCCTTACTGATATCCACTGCTTTTTGAAAAGTGTTTTGATATTGTCCGCTATATAAATGTCTAGTATTTATTTTTATCACACTGACTTACTTTCCTACATATAATACAGAGAGTAGGATAATTCTTGATGTTTATTTATCTAGTAGTTTATTGACCTCATAAACTAAGTGAATGGACTTTTCAGTAATTATTTTATCCATTCAAAGTCTTCTGAAAAATTTTGCCACATGTATAATGGAATCTTTAACAACCATTTTAAGCAAAAATTTTCATGAAGAAAGTATTTACTGGGTAGATATATCATTGAACCATTAGGTGACAAGAGTTCTGAATTCATTTGTTTTTCAGAGCAAGCTTTTTTTGGTCAGCAGTGACTTTCTTTCTCTTTAAAAAAATTTTTTTTTCTTACATTGGTGTTCATTTTTTGTACAATATTTGATTTCTCCTCTCAGGTGTAATTCCCATAAATCTCCCATCACCCCCTCACCTGTGAACCATCACCTTAGTCCCTTATGCTCCTCGTCCCCTGTCAGAGCAAATATTTTTAACTTACTGAGTTAATAGTTTTTGTTTTTTGGTTTTTTTTTTGGGTAGGCCAATTTTGAGAAGATTGAAAATGAACTGAAAGAAATCAACACAAACCAGGAAGCTCTGAAGAGAAACTTCCTGGAACTGACTGAATTAAAATTTATCCTTCGCAAAACTCAGCAGTTTTTTGATGAGGTCAGACTATTGTTTCTTTCAATATTTGAGCAGCTGATATTTACCTGCACAGTGGGCCATATTTTTATTCCAATAATTATTTTAATTTGCTAGTTTGAAAGCAGTACCATTTTTGCATCCTGTTTTAGTTGAAGAAATGTCAGATTATGTTCCATTTTTCATGCAGTACACAACAAGCCATGGTTTTGTATATTTTTGCATCTTCTGCAATTTTTCATCTCAAAATGGGGAAAGGAACCCTAATGTAGTTGCATAAACATAGTTGAAATTTTTACATTATGTTTTAAGGTAAGTATATTCAGGTTAAAGTTGAAACAAGAAACATTTGGCTATTCGTGAACTTTTCACACAGGTTTACTCTCCGAACCTTTTGTCATCAAATTTTTGTTTTTATTTTATTCTCTGTGTTTGCTCATCAACCTTTGAGCACATTTTTAAGCACCTCAGATAGCATTTTAATTTTTTGAGTTTTTCTTTATATTGTAGGATACGTTTGAAATTCCTAGATTTTCACATAAACTCAGCAGCATTACATTTTAGGGAGAAATGTTAATAAGTTCCTGGGTTAAAAATGTGGGTGACTAAGCTGCCAGCTGGCAGCTTGCTCAGGTGACCCCATGGGAAGGAGTTGGAGCCAGGCCTTCAGGTGGCTTCCTGCTCCTAATAAGACCTGGGGAGAAGTCTTAGCTGTTAGCCTGGGTATATTTTTCCTGATGGCCTGTCTTTGCCACCAGATTAGCAATATCAGATACTTCAGAGATTATTGGAATCACTATTCCATGTGCCTTTCCATAAAGTTCTTCATTTCCTTTGCTCAACAAAAATGTTCTGGCAAAGCTTCTTAAAAACAGATGACCCATTTTAGTTAGCACCTGTTACGTTCTTAGCTTTAGTTTCTGTCTTTTGAGGAAAGAGCCACTCTCCACCGTTCTCTGGACTGGAGCAGGGGGTTCTCCAATCAGCAAGCAGCGTCAGCCTCACTGGGCACGTTGTGAGAATGCAGATTACCATTCTCCACCCCAGACTTGTTGAATCACAATCTCTGAGGGTGGGGCCCAGCCATCTGTTTTCATGAGGTGATTCTGAAGCATACTAGTTTGAGAACCACCCAGCTAGAGAAAGTCAGCTGAAGTTGTGATACACTCCTCAGTAGTTAAGGATTTGACTCAGAGAAGCCAGGCTAATTAAAAAAGATCTGCTCAGGGAAAAACTCTGTTGGGGTGAGGGAGAGAAGGAAAGCTCTTATGAGTTTAATTACCTGATTTTCCCAAGAGTCAGAATCTGACTAGATATCAAGAGAGGTTTAATGTGAATATTCAGCTTGCTCACTGTGTTGGGAGTTTTGAGACTGTTGTTCTTGCACCGTTTCCCAGTATCACCACATTACAGGGTATGGGACAGTGTGATTAATGCTTTCCAAGTGTTTCAGGTCTTTTGCAAGAGGCATGACCTCTGACGCCATGTGGTTTTCATGAGCAAATAATCCGGGATTCCAGTATGCTCACTGCCTACACACTTATTATATTTCTCTTCATTAATTCCCTGAGCATTTAATGAGCACCTACTCTCTGTGAGGCCCAAGATGAGTAAGACATGGTCCCTGTGTTCAAGGAATGTATCGCTTAGTCATTTCAGAAAATGTCCCCAAACACAGATCCTCCATATGCTCAGAGATCTGTGCTTTTTGAAACTTGTTCAAGCTGCTGCCCTCAGATCCACGTAACCTTGGCCTTAGATCAAAGCCTAGCTACATTCCGTTTCATTTGGATTCTTTTGTCTCCTTCTTTTCCCCTTTTGCTACAGCCTTATTTACTCTGGAATGTTGCTGACATGTCTGAATGTCTTTCACAACCTCCTGAGTTTCTGAGGATTGGAATAGGCTTCCTAGTCTAGTTCATTCTAAGAGAAATTCTGAGTAAATACTGACTTTTTTATCCCTTAAGAGAAATAGTTATTGGGTCCGCCCTAGTGGTGTAGCGGGTTGAGTGCAGCGCTGTGAAGCTGTCCGCAGCCTCTGCAGCACGGCAGCCGGCCATGGAGATTACCACATGGCATGACAGACCTCTCCTGCCTCATCCACTGCTCCCCTCAGCAGTGTCTTCAGTCCATCTGCCTGTTCTCCTCCCTGCTCTGTCTCTGGTGAATTCTCTCACCCTCCTGCGCCTCTGGTGTGTACCCCAGTTCTTGTATAAATAAATAAATCTAAAAAAAAAAAAAATCAGAAAAAACAAACACAAAAAAGAGAAATAGTTATTTAAGCTATTAATGTAATTTAATTTTTATATTTTATAATTTTTCCCTTAAAACGTTTGTCAGTCATGTATATGTCTATATAACTTTGTGGTTTAAACTGTTACTTTTATAATAAGTAGTAGGACCAATAAGAAGGAACAACTTAGAAATATGATATACAATTTGAAAATCCTAAAAGTAGGGATTTTGTTTTATGATTTTTTTTTACATTTTTATTTTCATTTATTTATGCATACAAGAACTGGGGTGTAGGCCAGAGGTGTGGGGGATGTTCTCCACTAGAGACAGTGGGGAACAGAACAGGCAGACTGACTGAAATATACTGCTGAGGGGAGCAGCGGGTGAGACAGAAGAGGTCTGCTGTGCCATGTGGGTGCCTCCCCGGCGGGGATGAAACTCAGGGATTGAACTCAGGCTGCAGTGGCTGGTGATAGCTTGATTGCACTGAGACTTTAACCCCTGTGCTACCAGGGAGGCCCTGTTTTATGACTAATAAAGCTAACCATGAAATGTCCATCCCAAGTAGGCAGACTCAAAGCCCTACCATGGCTTCTCCCTTTCTTCCCTTTCCTCATGCAAACAAAATTCTTTTTTTTTTTTTTGATCTCTGGAAGTATTTTTGGGCACAAGGCCTTGGCTGTGAGAAGTTGTGCCCCTGCTTTTGTCACCCCTTCCATTCCTAGTACCCTCACAAGAGTACAGAGAGTTTTCCTGACAAGAACTACTCTGCTTTCTCTCTCTGAGTGCAGTCAGCACCTTACCTGTTTGCCACTAGCTCATTACCCTAGCTGGGTCTCTTCCAATAGCCCTTGCCCTGCTGGTGCCTAGCAGCAGTCTTAGGTGTCCTGCATGGAGGAGACAAGGCCTCACAGATTGTGTCTGACCACGTGAGCATGTTTTCAACATTGTGAAAATTGAGGGAACTTTGGACCCTCTAATCTCAGAAACTTTTTTGAGATTTTTCATCCATGTCTAAAATTATGTTTGCAAATGGCCTGAAACGCTACCGATTTCAAACCCTTCTTTATAATACAATTTGGTGAATATGATCAGTAGTTTACAATAATGAGTTAGCAGAAAATGGCTAAATCAGAAAATGATTTTTTCCATCATTAGGCATAGGGGTTGTGATTAACATGGTGTGTTGAAGGGGCAACATAAAATATACTGAATAGTCATGTTATTTAAGATGATTACAAATTTGACTTAGCCATTTCTTATCCAGAACACTTAAAATGACTTGTTAATGATTATCCTTTTCTCAGTCTTCTTGCTTATGAAGAACTGTAAGAGCTGGAGAGATTTCTCTGCATCTTTTACCATAAGCAGCAAAACGTATGAGAACGTAAAGAAGACTGGAAAAGTAATGGTTAATGGCATGCAGACTCCTGCCTTCCTTTCTTTCTGAGTTTTCCATCCATCTGCTTTCTTTATTTTTCTTTCCCATCTGCCATCTCCTATGGGCTGGGGTGAATCTCTTTCTCAATGTAGATGGAAGTAAAAGTGTTGTTCTTGGTAATTCATGTACCTGGAACCAGATATGCTGCTTATACTAAAGTGTAGAAGTACTGAAGTTCAGCTGCTTCCTTTTTCAGTGCATCGTGCAGTATTCTGACTGGAGCATGGGGTAAGCTGGAGGGCTCAGCATGTAGTTTAGAGGAGCAGGGGCTCTACTGTTTTTAGAGAACCCAGATTAGGATCTAGGTACAGACGTGGTTTTAGATCCATACAGTTACTGCTTCTGCTGATCCTAGTTTCCCTCTAGGCACAATTACTTTTCCTTTCTAAGGCTTAGGATTCTTAAATATGAAATAGTGAGATTAGTGATTATTGCAAGTTTTTATTTAATTTTAATCCTGGGTTTTTATTCCAAGAAGATCCCAGGTAGTCTTTGGGCTTTTTTATTCCAGGAAGGCCCCAGGTAGTCTTTGGAGAAGTCCTGTTGCTGAGCCCTATTTGCTGTTCCCTCACGTCCCCTGTAGAGCCCACGTGCTCACACGCAGTTCATTTAAGCAGGTCTTGTGAACTGTACAGGGAAGTAGACAGAAGTCTTGAGAATAACAGTCACAGTCAGTTTCACTGGTTCTGCCAGGAGACATCCCAAGAGCGCGTTGAAGTGCTGTGACCATTTAGATCCTTAAAACAAGTTGCCTATGGCCTGCAGTGACTTATTTGATTTTAACTGGAAACAATAAGAGCCCATACACTTCCAATCAGTAGCAACTAGCAACTTGTGCCCCATTAGCTCATCTTCAACTTTTCCAAATCTGTGACAGCATTTCTCTGCCCTCTGATGTGCCCAGTGCCTGTCCTTCCTTTATTTTTTTCCTTTTTGATCAAAGTTGATTCTGCTTTCACTTTTTTAGGCTTTCCAACTTACTATATGATTTATACAGATCTCCCTTGACTTCCAGTGAGGTGACATCTCAATCAGTCCACCGTAAGTTGAAAATATTCCAAGTCAAAAATACATTTAATACACCTAATCTACAGGTTAGTGTACCTACCGTAAATGAGCTTAGAACACCTGGTCTACAGGTGGGCAGAATCATCTAACACAAAGCCTGTATGATAAAGTGTTGAATAGCTCCTGTCACGTATTGAATACTGTACTGCAAGTGAAGACAGTCTGTAGAATATGGGTTGTTTCTTGGTTGCTGTGGCCGCTCAGGGCGTCACTAGAATATTGCACCACATAGCCCTGGCCCAGGAAAAGATCAAAATTCAAACATTGGAAGTGTGGTTTCCTACTGAACATAGACTGCCTTTGCAGCACTGTAAAGTAAAAATTCTTAAATTTGGGACTGTGTACTTTGTCCTCCCTCCCCTTTGACTGTTACATTCATGGTCCTATGATTTTTATCCAGCGAGGGTCCCACATGGCATTTTTTGATAGTGGGGTTGGCAAGAATAGAATCAAATTGAAATTTGGAGTTAAAATGACTGAGAAAAATTCCTCTCACTTTTTGTTCAGTTTTGCCATTGGAAAGAAAGATTAGTTTACTGTCAGTCTTTGGTCAAATAAGTAGTGTGTGGATATTAAAACTGGGGATATCAGACAATGGAGAAGTCAGTTGACCTTTATTTTTTAGGGTAACTTCTCCTTTCTGATGAGACTAAAGGGTAGGGTGAGTGGCATAGAGAGAGGCTTGGTAATGCAGACCTAAGTCTAAGAAGGCCCCTCTCCTCCTTCATTCCATTGTATAAACTGTCATGGTGGAAATCATTTTAAACAAACCAGCTTGGTTATGAACTATTACTTTTTCTTCACTTAACTTGATATTATTAACTTAAGCTGTGTTTTCAAGAATCCTTAAACAGTAAGGCCTACATATATTTTTTAATATGTCTAGATTCCTGGTCAGAAACTAGGGCATTCAGATTTGTTTTCACTTTTTCTTGCCTTTATGGATTTAATGGAGGCCCAGGCCTGCCCACCTTTGGGCTTCCTACCCAATTAGAACATGAAATACTTTTTATTTATTTATTTTTGAATTTAATCTTTTTTTTCTTTTTTTTTGTAATGATATGCTTTTAAATCCCATGGGTTGGAGTGTTTGTGCTATGGCTATGCTGAAAGTTCTCATGTACTGAATTTTTAAGAGCTGGGAAAACCTAGATATCTGGAGATGCCTTGTCTGCCTTCTCCAAATCATCCCGTGTTCCAGAAAGTGTTGGTGCCTTGCTTTTTCTCTCCTGATAGGAGCATCTCCATCCTTCACTTTCTCACATGGGGAAAATTTCAGTTTGTAGCTGCTTAGAAAATTAATGTTAAGGATATCTGCAGAGCTATTTTGCTTTTGCTCAAAACACTTCAACATCTGCCCACATGCAAAGGTATTTTCTGGTACTTTCATGGCTCATTCAGAGAAACAGAGGAGGTAAAATGTTTTCCACCAAGTGACAGATTTATACACATCACCATCATTTAACGTTTTTTTTTCTTTATTCCTTATTTTTAAGAACATTTCCCCAGATACTTGACTGGGACAATTATGCTTTCTTTACCTCGTATCTTTCCTTTGTTTTCTTCCCCTGTTCTTCTTTTTGTGGGTGTGTCTTCTATTTTGGTGGTTTTTTTCCATCTTTATTTTCTAAACTTATTTCCTGGTTCCTCGTTCCCTGCATGCCACTAACTATTTTCATTAGATATTAATTGATTTGTGAATTCAGGCTGAATTGCATCATCAGCAGATGGCGGATCCAGACCTGTTGGAAGAGTCCTCATCCCTCTTGGAGCCAAGTGAGATGGGAAGAGGCACGCCTTTAAGACTTGGGTAAGTACCACTTCAGCTCTTCCCTAGCCAGTGGGGTCATGTTTCCTTTTTGCTGTTAAAAGAGCAGCAAGGCTGGGCATTCATTTGCTTCTAGGACACACTCTCTTCCGAGCCTGTTGGGGGTGTTCCTGAGTCACTTTGGAGTCACTTCCTGAGTTGTTCTGTCAACCCTCTGGTGGGTCCAGAAATAAAACTTTGGCAGCCATGTGCCATAACAGTGCATAGTCTCATGTTTGTCACCTTTGCCCCTCTTCTCTCACTTTCCTTCTTTGTCTTCAAGCCTCTCATCCCACGGCATGGACTAGAGTTCCCAATCTGGCTCTTCTCCCCACAGCTTCGTGGCTGGTGTGATTAACCGGGAGCGCATCCCTACTTTTGAGCGCATGCTTTGGCGGGTGTGCCGGGGGAATGTGTTCCTGCGACAGGCTGAAATCGAGAACCCCCTGGAGGATCCTGTGACTGTAAGACAAGGAAATTGCATCCTGTGGAGTAGGTCTTAGAAAGGGAGCCCAGCGCAGTAACATAGGCTGGTGCCCCCTCAGTGTGACCCTCCCAGAGAAGCCCCTAAGTCTACCCCACTTTGATGAGAATTTGAAGGCCTGCTCTTTTCCTCTTAACTTCCCTCATATGTGTGCATGTGATGTGTATGTAACACAGGCATATACATTTTCAAGCCTGACCCATGTAGGTGTTATTTTGATTGGAAATGTTTTTCCCAGGTATTTTAAATTTTAGTTTTATATATTTTCTATAACTTATCTGGCACCAAAAGAAAATTGGTTTTCTATGAAAATTAACTTAAAGTAAGACATCTGGTTCCAAGCTTGGTAGTATCCATGTGCAAAAAGAGGAGACATACTCTAAACTGTGTTCTTTTTAAGTCAATAACGTTTAGTTGGTGAGGAGTTTTGTCTATTTGTTTGTTGGAAGAATTAGAAATGTAGTTTAAGATACATATATTCATCAAGTTAGGATGAGCTTCCCCATCCAATGATTTGGAAAGTAGGAACGGGTTACCATAATGGAATAGAGTTCTTTACATTAAATCTACATTACATGGGTGAGTCCTGATTTCAGAGATCCTAATTAAAGAAATGTACCTCACTTTTGCATTAGTATTATTTAGAGGCCTGGAGTTGTTTTTTCTGTTCTAAATTATGTTTTGGTTTTCTTAAATTAATATTCCTTACTCTAAATAGAGATTGAACTGTTGACACCTCTCAGTGCGCACACCATGCAGCTGAAAACAATTCAGTGATGTGGCTTGTGTCCTAGGTAGTGCCCAGGAGTGAGGTGACATGTAGTTTACCCAGCAGAGCAGTTTTGCAGTCATCCTGAAGGCTGTCCCTGGGTGTGGAGACAACGTGGAATGCAGTCGCACCTAGTGTAGAGCAGCTCTCAGGAATATTAGCCAAGTTTCTGGGCAACAGAAAGATTTTATCAACAAAATCGGGGAACTCTGGGTCTAGATCTCCAGCATAGAGCAGCTGCACAAAGAATGTGCTCCAGTTATTCTTAGAGAATTTAGGAATTTAAACCTCTTGGACCTTATTTTCTTCATTCCTCATCTCCTTTTATTCTTCCAAAGTTTTGTTTGTTTTCTTGTAAAAGCTCATAGGAATATGAGAGGAGCAGGCAACCAGAGACAATCCCTGTTAACAGCCAGTGTTGCTTTCTTTTCTCATCTTCCTTCCAGTTTCCCTGCCCTGCCCCCCCACACCTCCTTCCAGTCCTTACATGAGACTTTAGGGGTCAACTTGGCATTGGGATGGACGGCCTTCCTCCCTGCCCTGTAAAGTCTAAGTTAGCATGAATCATGAGGTTCTACATCAACAGCCTTCCAAGCTACCCAGTTCCTTGCAGTTTTGCAGCCCCCCTTACCTGGGAATTTCTAAGCATAGGAACAGACAGAAAAGGCTTCCTTCTCTTTCCTCTCCTTTACACTTATGTCGTTCAGACAATGCAAGATTTAAAGTTGAATTGGTAGATATGGCTAAAGAGGAAAATTAGAGATTACAGGGCATATGTTCTGATAGTAGAGCCTAAGAGATGGATCACAGTGGCCATGTCCTGTTGTTCCTATAGCACCAAGAAAGTAAGTTCTTGAAGTTCTCTTCTGGATTAACTGACTGAACTCTTGGTTTTTGGTTGGGGGCCTAGGGCGACTACGTGCACAAGTCTGTGTTCATCATTTTCTTCCAAGGCGATCAGCTGAAAAACAGAGTCAAGAAAATCTGTGAAGGGTAAGAGCTGTCTCCCAAGGGTCCAGCCAACCCTCCTACCTATTAAGTCTTAGAATACAGACAAGTGAAAACCTTTTTAGTCTACTCTGACATGGTGAATACATCTTTAAATAGTGTTATAGCTATTTTAAACAATTAGAAATGGCTTAATTTCATTTTTTAAAAGTGCCATCATAATCACAATTTCCTTTCCTTAAAAAAAGTAGCGAGGGCATGCCTCCCCTGGTGGCACAGCGGTTGAGCGCTGGGCTGCGAGGCTGCTTACAGCCTCTGCAGCGCTGGTTCGATCCCCGGCCACCAGTGAGGGTCCCACATGGCGCGCAGACCTCTCCCGCCGTGCCCACTGCTCCCCTCAGCAGTGTATTTCGTCAGTCTGCCTGTTCTGTTCCCCACTCTGGCTCTGGTGAATTCTCTCACCCTCCCGCGCATCTGACTGTACCCAGAGCTTGTATAAATAAAATAAATAAATCTTAAAAAAAAAGAAAAAGAAAAAGGTAGGAGGACTTATGTTTATAAATGCTACATTGTTATAGAACGATAGGTCTGCTCACTTAAACTGTTCTAAAATTCCACTCATAAGACTTTTTTTCATTCTGTTTTTCTCCAATAATGTAGAAAGAATTACATCCACAAATGTAAAGAATCTGAGGGGAATTTATTTTTTTTTTTTATTTTTTTTTTTATTTTTTTTTTTTTTATAGAGGCATGCTTTATTTATTTGTTTGCTGGTTTCTTTGTTTGTTTTGTTTATACATGCACTGGGTACAGTCAGAAGCGCGGGAGGGCGAGAGAATTCACCAGAGCCAGAGAGGGGAGCAGAGCAGGCAGAAGGACCGAAGTACACTGCTGAGGGGAGCAGCGGGCGGCAGGAGAGGTCTGCGCGCCATGTGGGACCCTCCTCCGGTGGCCGGGGAGCAGCCGGGGATCGAACCGGCGCCGCAGAGGCCGCGCGCAGCTTCGCAACCCAGCGCTCAACCGCTGCGCCACCGGGGAGGCCCATGAGGGGAATTTAATATCTAGACAGAGAATGTCAAGATAGGTCAACTATCACTTCTCTGTCCATAAACCACTCCCCAAAAATGTTTATTGAGTAGTGTGCATCAGTCTGAACTAATCCTGTTTTGGCCCTTCTAAAAAGTTAGGATTACTTTCTGAGATTTTTTTAAATTAGAACGATTAAGACACGTCTGTATTCCTCAGGCTATGTCTGTTCATTCCAGGTTCCGAGCTTCACTCTACCCCTGCCCTGAGACACCGCAGGAGAGGAAAGAAATGGCTTCTGGCGTCAACACCAGGATTGATGATCTCCAAATGGTATATAGAGGGCTGAAGGGAATTTTTTTTTTTTTTTTTTTTTTTTTTGTGAAGCACTGTAATAGAGCTTTCTCCTTCCATGAGACACCAACTGTTGGTTTATTAGGTACCTACAGCAGTCAGGTGACCAAAAAAGGTATTGTCCATGGGGAAAATTTCAGGGAATACCATTAAAAATAGCATTGATGAACCTCAAACAAAACTGTGGCTTAGTGTATTCAGTTCCCCTCTTGGGTCTGAGGTATTTTTTTATAGTGAAAAAAAAAAAGAGTATGCTTGGTTAAGAAAATATGTATAAGGTCAGTTCTGCTTCCTCACACCCACACACTCAGTCTACCTCCACTCTGCTGAGTAGCTTGGTATGTATCCTTCCTGTCACCTTGGATCTTAACCACACAGTCCAGCCGGGTGCTCTGGTATGACTCTTACACCCAAAAAGAGATTGCGTTGGATATTTACTAAAATAGTATGTGCTCTTTACTCACCACCATGGTTGTCACGGTTCTAAAGAAGTCGTTGATTTATGCAAACATGGGGAGAGGTGGTCAGTTGGGCCAGCTTTGTTCCCTGTTGAAACATTAAATATACTGGATCCTAGAGGCAGTTCCAGCCAGCAGTGGCAAAATTGTCAGATATCTTGTAACTCCCATTTCAACTTTCTTTTTCATCTTTCCCTCACACCCACAGTGTGTGTGATCCACCAACTCGATTTATTGCCGGCTCCTTTGAGGTACACCTAATCCGTTTACCCGCAAAGACGGGTTCTTAGAACTGCTAGTGAGTTATAGGCAGTATTAGTATGTTCTGGTTCCAGGTCTGTCTTATCCCCTCCCATATACTTTAAAGGGCATGTACAATAATTATTATAAATGACCAACATTTGATTTTTAAAATACCAACCAGCTTTATGAACTGAAACTTTAAAAATAGATTAAATACCAAGGAGTGAAATGTGGGGGTGGGGATGGAGAAAGAGAAAAGCAAATAGAACATTGCTTGCAGGTTTATTTAGCAGCCTTCCAGAAGTATTAATAGTAATTGTGAAATGGTCAGCCGCCAGAAGGGGAGAAAGTGGCTCTCTTTTATTCTCAAGTGAGACAAGAGTTTCCCTAGCTTGCCATGGTTATTTTTTTACCTCTCTATAGAAGTCACTTTCTAATGCCCAAAACAGTTTTTCAGGGAGCAGTTACTACATTTTCTCTGAAATGATTTGAAGAGCAATTTATGAGGAAAACTTGTGTTGACATGATTAGTATGTAGCTTTCCCACGTCACAGAAAATGTAGACATTTAAGATAGGGTCTCATGCAGAAGTGTGGTGGTGGGTTGCTTGCCCATTTCCTTCCATGTGGAAGGAAGGGGCTTAGCTCCTCTGCGTTATTAAATCTTAAATATTTGGCAATAAACAAAGTGGTAGAAAGTGAAATGCCTTTTCCTTTACCCAGCCCACCAAGCGTAACGTTAATCAGTTTGTGTCATTTTACTTTCATTACTCTGTAATATACATCTTGTCTTGTGATTCCTCTGAGGGAAATCTGTACTGGCTTCCAAAGGATTAGCACTGACCCTCACCCCTAAGAGCCTGGTGTAAAGATAAAGGCTTATCTGCCTGGTGATGACAGTGTACGTGGTCATCTCTATTCCGTTTAAAGGCCATGGGTCCCACTGACCCCACAGTGTCTCCTGTCTCCTGCCCCCTGGCACGGAGTGTCTCCTGGTATAGGCAGATGGATGAGTTCAGCACTGCCTCTTTCCCACAGTTCTCTGATGTCGGCTTATGTTCAGCTTACTGTTTTAAGTATGAATTTGTTGACTTTGTCAACACTTGGGTCTGTGATGCTAACTTGTTTGAATCTGAGTTACAGGCACCACGTGGAAAGTCAGTGCCTTTTAAAGATCCAAGTAAAAACCGGTGACCTATATTTATTGTGCCATGGATTTGGTGGTGAGATTAAACATACACAGAACAGCTAAAAACCATTTTCTCTGATTTCTCTTCAGTTTGAAGCTAAATAAAAATGAATATTAGTCACTAAAACTCTAATTTCTTGGAATTTGGCAAAAAAAAATGTTATTCTAGACAGAGAAAGAACAACCTCGCTTCTAGCAACCCTGTTTAGAAAGCTGTGCCTCTTTGCTATTCATATCCTGAGATCAAAGGCTGGTGTTAGAAAGATCCCTCCCTTGTTCCTTTCTCTTCCTAAAGGTTCTGAATCAAACAGAGGATCACCGCCAGAGAGTTCTGCAGGCAGCTGCTAAAAACATCCGGGTGTGGTTCATCAAGGTACGGAAGATGAAGGCCATCTACCACACACTGAACCTGTGCAACATCGACGTGACCCAGAAGTGTCTGATTGCGGAGGTCTGGTGCCCTGTCACTGACCTCGACTCCATCCAGTTTGCACTCAGAAGGGGCACGGTGAGTCCCCCACACCTATGACCAGGAAGGGGGGTTCCTTTCTGTAATAATGTTATTCAGCTACATTTTTATAACATTTTATTTATTTATTTATTTATTTATTAAGATTTATTATTAATGTATGCATACAAGAACTGAGGTATAGACCAGAAGTACTGGAGGTGAGAGGATTCACCAGAGACAGAGTGGGGAGCAGAACAGGCAGATCCACTGAAATACACTGCTGAGGGGAGCAGCGGGTGAGACAAGAGAGGTCTACTATGCCATGTGGGTCAGCTCCCTGGCGGGGGATCGAACTCGTACTTCGGTGGCTGAAGATATCTTCATAGTGCTGCGACTTAACCCCTTGTGCCACCAGGGAGGCCATTTATAACATTATTACTTTCAGAGTTCTTTAGTACACTACTCATCTTGTATCCTCACAATAGGTTTTGGATGTCCTTGTTTTCCAAATGTGGAAATTGCAGTTCAAAAAAGATGATGAAATGAATTGGTCATATACCCATTATTCACGACCAGATCATTCCTGGCCCACTCTGTCCATGAGACTGCTTCTGTAGTATAATCCTAGAAGTCCTGTTTAGTAGTTAGAGCTAATCCTTTATCCAAAGCACTGATCAGGGGCTGAGAGAAGTATAGAGAATTTTTAAAATATGCCCTCAAGTATCATATGGTTTATCTGGAGACGTGCAGACATTAGGCTGTGCTAAGTCTGTGCTAAGTGGTTGTATGTGTGTGTAGAGGGAATGGCCTGGCTTTTCCAACTAGGATGATTGGAAAAAGTTTCAAAAAGGTGCTGTTTGATCAGGGCTTTGAAGAATGAGTAAGAGGTCACTTGTCAGTGACAAGAAGAAAACAGTGGACAAATGCAGGAAGTACAGAGTGCCTGTGCGCGGTTGGGCAAGAACAAGAATTAAAAGAAGAAGATAAATCTGGGTTAGATGGATTGGAACTTAACTGTGATGGGTTTTTAAATAATGGGTTAGAAAGTTTAAATTTTATAACAGAATTAGGGAGACATTGAAGTCACTTAGCATGAAGGACATAATGCAGGATTTGGAAAGAGGAAACTGCTGGTGGTATCTGGGTAGGACTGGGTGGTGGAGATAGTCTATGGGGTAATGGGGGAGGATCAGTTAGAGGTTATTATAGGCAGAGAGTAGTAAGTGATAAGGACCCCTAGGGTAAAACTTGATGATGAGAAAAAAAAAATACTGATAAATTTGTGAGACATATGAATGAAGAATCTTGATTCCTAGCAATGTACAGAAATACAAGGAGAAAAAAATTGTGATTGTTTCTGAGGCATCAGATATGAGAGGTTGATGTAAGTTCATTTTCGATCACACTGAAGGACCAGATGGAAATTTACATGAAAATGTCAAGCAGGTAATGGGACAGGTTCTCACTAGAAAGTTCAGCCTGAAGGAAAGGAGATTCATGAGGGCAGAAGAAGAGAATGAGCTGTCCAGGAGAGTAAATAGGAAGCCAAAGATACAACCTGAGGGGTCCTGCAATGCTGGATATAGACAGAGGAACAAGAGCCAGCCAGGAGACAGAAAGGGTTAATGAGCAGGAGGGGAACTTGTAAGGAATAGTGACTTTCACCAAAGAAAAGAGGAAGCTCTCTAGGCCTGCAAATGGAAGCAAAGGCCTCTGGATCTGGGGCCAAGCCAGCCCCTTTTAGTAAGTGTGCACGGCTGAACTGCATGGGACTAGGGAATAAGAATAGGCAGCGAAGGAAGAGAGATAAAGAACACGCTTTGTTTTTTGCATAAAATGAGGATAGAACAATCACACTTGAAGACAGGGAGATGAGAATGTCTCTGGAGAAGAACGCTCCTGTTTTCTTTGGTTTCACATTTTTAGAATTAAATATTTTTCATATGTGGTTATTCTTCCTGACACTTAATTTAAATCTTTCATTGTAAATTTCATATCTAGTCCCAGTTTCCCCAAAGATTATTATGATTGAGATGGAATTTACATAAAAGAAAGTATACATCTTAAGTGTACAGTTTGTGAGTTTTGTTGAATGTGGACAACCTAATTTCAATGTATGTATTTAATGTCACCAGGAACACAGTGGTTCCACCGTGCCCTCCATTTTGAACAGGATGCAGACAAACCAGACTCCCCCAACCTACAATAAAACTAATAAGTTCACATATGGCTTTCAAAATATAGTAGACGCTTATGGAATTGGAACCTACCGAGAGATAAATCCAGGTACAAATAGCTTAACTCTTATAATTCTAGAGGTTTTGGAGTTTTTTTATTTGCTGGGTTTTTTTGTTTGTTTGTTTTGTTTTTGTTTTACTGCCTGACTTTAAATGCTATTAAACACCTAGCTTAAAATAAAGATGTTTTCAAGACCTTGTTTTCATGTAGTCCTTGCAAAGAGTTACCACTTTGACAAAAGTTTACGTCTAGGTGGCACTCCTTCAAGAGGAGACATTATCCAAGCTCAGAGTGGATTGGATTCCCATGTGCCCTCAAAGCGACAAAGCCCCTGGCCTTTCCAGTGCACCTTTTGCAGAAATTGCTTTAAGCAAAAAAGTCTTTTTTACCAAGGCATCTGATATTTTAAAATGGCTTCCCTGTTCCAGCTTAGAGAAAAATAGAGGAATATTGACCATTGTAGGCACACAGCAGATTTCTCCTCTGTTTGGAGAATTATTAAATTAGGAGTCTGAGATTTCATTTTCAGCTGGGCCCTTCTGAGAATCTGCTTTGCTCCAAGTTCTGGGCTTTCTTTCGCCTCCCCAGCACCTTTATTTATCTGGGAAATGGTTGCTGCGCAGAAGAGAGCTGGCCTGCCCCAGCGGCCATGTCCAGGGGTTGGGAAGAAGTCAAAGAACAGGCCACACAGTTGCTGAGGCTGGAGACAAAACTCTGATGTCCTGTGTTCTTTGTTTAAAGTGTTGGCAGTAGCTCAGCTGCTGTGGGAGCTGCTTTGTGAGGGTGTGCAGATACTGCCATGGAAGGTTTCTTTGGGACTCCCTCTGTCCTACAGCTTGGAAATTAGTCACCTTCCACTGATACTAGAGTGTGGAGAGGAACGTGATATGTGGGAATTGTGCTTTATCTCCTCCTTTCGTTTCTTTGTAGCACCATACACCATCATCACTTTCCCTTTCCTGTTTGCTGTGATGTTTGGGGACTTTGGCCATGGCATTTTGATGACCCTTTTCGCTGTATGGATGGTGTTAAGGGAGAGTCGAATCCTTTCCCAGAAGAATGAGAATGAGGTAATGTTTGAATTACATCTGCATTGGACTGAAACTCTTAAATTTCTCAAACACTTATGAAAATGATGATCTGGAAACTTTTTATCCATCAATGTATAGAGAAATGGAGACTATGTAGAGAATAGATAAGTTGTGATCATTGTAATACTAAAGAGTCAGCGTGCTCTGAAAGTGAATTTCTTGTTAGCATTGTATTTTGGTCTTTATTTCATGCTCTCTGACCCCAGGTAGGGTAAAGTGGTGGGAGAGAAAGGGTCTAGTATATTCTAAGTATCACTGCCATTTAGCTACATTAGGTCATTGACATCTTTCCTCTGATTCCCAGATGTTCAGCACTGTGTTCAGTGGCAGATACATCATTCTGTTGATGGGCGTGTTCTCCATCTACACTGGCCTCATCTACAATGATTGCTTTTCCAAGTCTCTTAATATCTTCGGGTCCTCTTGGAGCGTAAGGCCGATGTTCACGAAATACAATTGGACGTAAGTTGCAAATGAAATGGAAAGTCAAGGGTTGTTGCTTTCATTTCAGCTCTGACTTTCCAGAGAAGCAGTGAACTAACACCTCTTTAGGAAGTGGTTGACAGCATCTGTTTCAGAGGAGTGCAGCATCCCCTCTTCCTCATGCTCCAACCTCAGAAGTGCTTTCTGATTCATTCAGCAGTATCCAGGAACTGAAACTATAATTAAGCACATTGCTTTTCTTTGCAAATTAAAAGCAGATTCCACAAATTCCATACAAGATTGTGTAGGTGTGTTTAGTTTGTCTTTTTTGTTATCTCAGCTCCTTTCTCTCTCTGATGCTAGTCCCTTTTATTAAGGAAACAAGATAGCAGTAGGAGTTTCCTTGGTGATCAGTTTCTGAACCCCATTCGATTCCCTTTCCTGATAAAAAAAATAAATGGCAGCTTTTCTCCTGCATGATAGGGAGGAGACACTTCGGGGGAACCCTGTTCTCCAGCTGAACCCAACTGTCCCTGGAGTTTTTGGTGGACCCTACCCTTTTGGCATTGATCCGGTGAGACCATTTCTTTCCCATACGTCTAATACCAGATTGTTAACTGTGACCCTGAAGTGAGAGAATTAAAGTAAAGATAAGTAGTTACTTGGTTTTTAGGTGACATATTTTTGGAGGATTTTGGTGTATTAGCCCAGGGTATTTCAAATCCATGAGACCCAAATGCCTTGGGGAGCCAAGAACTTTTCCACACTGCTTTTTTCTGAGGCACATGGGAGTGTGTTATACTATTTTCTCTACTTAAGGCTTTGTTTAGAATTTTACACAGTTTAACAAGAACTTCTAAAACATGAGTGAATAATGATTTTCCACTTAAGAACTATTGGTATATAATACCTTTTTTGTTGGCTTGTGGCAGATTTGGAACATTGCAACCAATAAGCTGACCTTCCTCAACTCCTTTAAAATGAAGATGTCTGTTATCCTTGGTATCATCCACATGCTGTTCGGAGTCAGCCTGAGCCTTTTCAACCACACGTGAGTCACTTTGTTTCTGCCAAATGAAGGCATATGGTTTAAGAAATGCTAACATGTTTGGAGAAAGGATTAATAACCCCTCTTTTCTATATTAAAGAAGTGTTTCTATAAAAATCTTCTTAAATGATACTAAATTAATATTAGCCCCTTAACAATTTATAGTTGTGGTAAAGATCTTTGAAAACCCCTGTGCCAAGTGAGTGAGTTTTTTTCTCCATTTGTGTAAGTCACATAAAATTATGTACGGTAGGCACAGAATATACTAGATGTTCCTATCTCTTTCTTGTGGGAAACTAGTAAGGATGGTCCTGGAGCTCTTTAAGATTCAGAAGTTTAGAAGTCATATGTAATTATGTCTTTGTTGCCTCCAGTGCTTCCCGCTTTTGCTTCTTCTTTTTTTTTTCCCCTTCCTTTTGCTTTTTAAGGTGATAAAGACAGACTTGAGGGAGCATTAGGTAAAAATCAAGCAAGTACTCCACTTGGTTTAGGGGTAACCTTGGGTCTGTCACCTCTAACACTTTTTCTCTGTTCCTTTTTAGCTACTTCAAGAAGCCCCTGAATATCTACTTTGGATTTATTCCTGAAATAATCTTCATGACCTCTCTGTTTGGCTATTTGGTTATCCTTATTTTTTACAAGTGGACAGCCTATGATGCCCGTACATCTGAGAAAGCACCAAGCCTTCTGATTCATTTCATAAATATGTTTCTCTTTTCCTATGGTGACTCTGGCAATTCAATGCTGTATTCTGGACAGGTGTGTCAACCCAGAGATGGGCTGTCTTAGGTGGTTACCCTAGTCAGGAAGCCAGATACTTCTTTTTCTTTTTTTTCACATAGAAGAACTGGGGTGCAGGACAGAAGTGCAGGGGGTGAGAGGATTCACCAGAGACAGAGTGGGGAGTAGAATAGGCAGATCTACTGAAATACACTGCTGTGGGGAGCAGCGGGTGAAACAGGAGAGGTCTGCTGCACCATGTGAGTCAGCTCCTTGGCATGGGATCGAACACAGCCTGTAGTGGTGACAGCACTGAGATTTAAACCGTAGGCTACCAGGGAGGCCCCCAGGAAGCCAGATATTTCTGTCATCCAAAAAAAAAAAAAAAAAAAAAGCTTTAAAAAATCCCTTTTGTTGTATTTGGTTTTCAGGCAGTATATCCAGATCTAAATGTAGCCTGTCTTCCTTACTTGGGAGGATTACTGTAATTCTGTATCCAGAAGGGGTAGAATTTATAACTCTTCAACTGTGAGACAGTTACTAGGCTTTGCCACAACACCTGCTAATTATTCTGAGAAGCTTGATAGTGTTATTCATAGATCAGAAGAACATACTGCTAAGGGTGGGGGAGGGGAATCTGTGCTGGCTTTGGAAACTGCATATTTGATTGATGTGATGTGCAGGAGGGGGAATCTGTGCTGGCTTTGGAAACTGCATATTTGATTGATGTGATGTGCCTTGTCCTTTTTGCTTTGCAGAAGGGAATTCAGTGTTTCCTGGTAGTGGTTGCGCTACTGTGTGTACCTTGGATGCTACTGTTTAAACCACTGGTCCTTCGCCATCAATATTTGAGGAAGAAGCACTTGGTGGGTGTATTTCTTTTGCAGAAAGTTATTAGAATTTTTTAATTTAAGATCAAGGCAGTTCCTCATTGGACATAATGAACTGTACATAATTCTGTGTCCTCTTAAAATGCATTTGTGTCATATCCTGGCATGAGCACTGGGCCTGCTGAAATCAGAGAAACATGTATTTGCTGCTTGGACATCTGGATTCAGCTTTGAGTGGCTCGGGGAGAGAGAACAAGTTTTGACCTTTCCTGGTCATGCTTGGTTCTTGCTGTGCTCAGCAAACTCCAGGCCTGGGCCTGTTGAGATGCAGCATCAGCCAAAGCAAAGCTGCACAAGCTGCAGATGGGTGAGCCCACACATGTGGTTTGCCTGGGCTACCACAGGGCTGCTACCAAGACATTTTCTTTTAAAATGGACTGTGATACTTTCCCCAACCAAAACATCTAGGGGAAAGCTTTGGTTCAAAGCACATGGTTTTTTTCTTTGTAAAACCAGCACACATACATGTGTTTACTTAATGTATGTGTGCTTATGAGTTCTACACACACACAGAATTCAGTTGCCAGATGTTCTTTTCTGGATGTGCAGTAGTGCTTATTTATTATACTGCCTGGGAAAACCCAGAAGATCTTGTTGCATGACTCTCTGTTAGATTATTACTCCTGCAGCTGAGTTACAAGACCCTCCTTCTCCCTTTTCTGACCATCTTCATCCTCCATGTACCCTCCATTCGTCTCCCCCTTTCACTCCTCCCCTCTTTTGTTTCCTTCTCCCTTCCTCTTTTCTTCCATTCACTATCAGGAAGGGCAACCTGTGGAGGCCCCAGTCAGCCCAACCCCGAGCCAACAGGGACTAGAGGCAGCAGCGGCTGCAACAGTGAGTCAATTAAAACCAACAAACCATCACATTTTGTTTAAAGAGGTGGCAAACAGTGCAGCAGAATTCTTTTTAACTATATTGAGAGCATGGGACATGTGTGTTCTTGGGAAGTATGTCCATGTTACTCATTGAGACCATGACAGAAAAGACTTCCGCCTCTTACGAGTAGATTCTGATATCATCTTTGCCGTTGGTCTGCTAAGATTCTATTCAAGTATGTCAGTACAGTCATGTCTGTGGATGCAGCGTGGCTGTTGTACCTCTCCAAGTCCCATCGTCTTAATCCAAGATGGCAGCTCTTGGTCTCATCTACTTTTATGTCTATATTTTGTTACCATGTATTGGATGATTTTTCAGCATGGAGCAAGAACATCTCTGTGATTCTTGATTTCTGTGCACTTTAAAGTTCTGCTTCAGAGCGACACTTAGACATTTGGTCCTTTTTAGTTGTGATTTAACTCTTTCCAGTGGAAGCTTATATGTGTCTACTTTCTTGTAAGAGGCTCAGACGCCCTGTGTCCTCAGCTGTTCCAGTAACACCACCGTTCTGCGAGTGTCTTATGTCTGCTCTATCTCTGGTGTAATAACCAAAATCATCTTCTGTTTTGCTCTTTCTCTTCCTAACTAACTCATGATTCAGTAACAGTACTTTGTCCTTAAAAACATCTCTTAACCAAAATCTTACAATGTACTAAATATCAGATTATTCTGTTCCAGCTGATGAATCTATAAGATTTTTAAATCTTACTAGTAGTGATTACTCATGTACTATTGTGTACTCATAACATCATACTCTTAAAGAAAGTGAAATATTTAGATGGCTGTTCATTTCCTTCATAAGATGTTTCTGATCATTTTAAACTTAGAAAACTGCTATAATCATCCTCAGAACTAGTATAAAAGGGCTGATATTTTTTATCAGAAGGTATCTTACTATTGCTGCTTCAAATTATTTTCCAGTACTTACTTTCTCCTTCCCTATGAGAAATGTAAAAATAACAGCAATGAAGGACATATTATCCATTTAATGACATTCTTTCCATGAGCTTTTCTTTCTGCTAATCTTAGTATATTTAAAGTGTGCTTCAGAGATCTTGATGCTTTTAAATCTGGCATCCTCTTCTGTGATGTTCTCCACAGTAAAAGTTCCCAGTCTGGAAACCTGCACATTCACAGGGTTGTCTTAGCCCACCAGTTCTTCAGCCAAACAACTATTTTTGGAGAGTAGCCTGAAGGCATCAGAACTGTCATTCTCCAACAAGGGCCCTGGATTCTTGACCCCAAGGGCTAAGAACACTGATCCAGTTTTGCTCTATTCTAGTCTGTTTTGTTTTGGTTGCCTATAAGTAGTGTATCACAGTTTAATTTTTTCTTTTCATTTTTCTGCTGATGTGTGTGTCTCATACTCCTTCCCGTAACTCTCATTCCCTTTGTGCCTAAAAGACACTTGTTAGTGTCTGACTGGGAGGTGTAACTTGTCTGCCTCTCACGTTATTTAGTGGCTAGGGGGGAGCTTCAAAAATGGTCTCCTGCTTTAGTTGCCTTGAAGTCTGAAGCAGGCCTCCTTGACCCTATAACCCATCCTGGGATGTGCTGGGGTCCCCTTCTGGCCCCAGGACCCTTTGTTGTACTTTCAATCCTCCTTTTGAGGGTTGTCAAAGTGTAATATGTACATGGCCTACAGGTGCTTCCATGGTTCCTGGGTCTGACTACATATAAGAATCACCTGGTAAACTTTAAATCTGTTTCTTAGAGAGTTAAAACAAAACAGATAAGTGAAAAAAAATAAATTAAGGTGGCCCACTACTCCATGACCCAGAAAATCCCCTACTAACATTGAAAGCTAAAAGTAATAGGTACACTTGGTTAGTGACACAGAAGTCCTGAAAGTGAAAGTCTCCCCATCCCCTCTCTGCCCTCTTGTTCAGGGGTGTTGTTAATAGTTGAGAGGATTGTGTCCAAAAGGCCTTCTGCATATGTCACATAGCTTATCATCAATGGAGAGAAACATGTATATGTGTATGCACGTGTATGTATGTATTTAAATACATTAGGAATTGTGTTTTAAACTGTAGCTCTTCTATCCCTCACTATTAGTTTTTTTTTTTTAATTTAGTGAATCTTGGAAATGGTTTCATAGTAATACTCGTCTTCACAGTTGCCTGGCATTCCACAGACTATGTTGGAAATGCTGAAATTGTGTAATTACTTTCTTTTTTTAATATAATCACTTTTTTTTTACTGATGGTTGTATTGCTTGTTCCCAATTCTTTACTATTATAAATAATAATGCCGGGAACATCCTTGTCCTGTATCTTCATAAGATTTCATAAGCAGAAAAGTTTCCAGCAGTGGGATTGATGCATCTCAGAGGCCACATTACATTTTCAATTTTGAGAGACAATCAAAATTGTTGTATAATGTGTACTTGGGGAAGTATTTGTTAAGTCAGATTTCCTAGGCCCCATCCCAGACCTAACAAATACAATTTCTGAGGGCAGTACTCAAGAATCTCCATTCAATGAAACACAGCTTTCAAGGGGATTCTGTTGCAGCTGGCTCTCTGACCAGCATGTGAGAACCACTGCTAGAAGAGGAGGGAGAATGTGCCCAAACACTGGTGTCAGGAACTCTGGTAGAAGGTCCACACCAGCAGCGACACTGTGAGGGATCTCAGAGCACTTGACCAGCCTGTTTAGGCATGGTTCAACCCAGGCCATTTTGCAGAACAGTCCCTAAGAGCTTGTCTCGTTTGGCTCCCCAGACAGAAACCATGAAGTGCGTCTGGAGGCTGTCTTCAGCGCCTTCCCACTCTAGCAGGTTAGCACTGGTTCGTAGCTGTCAGACTTAATCCCTGTTCTGCCTGGTTTTTGTAGCCAGAGAGTCCTTTGTAGCCAGAGAGTCCAGTAAACCCAGACTTTTCCAAATCAAGTTGACTTAAAGATTCTGCCTCTGGAGACCCTTCTGAAAACGTGCCTGGGAAGTGAGAAGTAAACACCCAAACAGCGTCTGCCCACAGAAGAGTTGCTCTAACATTCTGGGATCCTCCATTGAAGGAAAGAAGCAAAGAAACCTCCTTTATACATATATCCCCAGTCAGTATTCGCCATAAACTTTTTTCCTTCCCTGACCTAGGAAGCCCTTTGTTCCTGGGCAGAGGCCTGGTACATTTCTGGGAGAGGTCGCTGGAATCTTGGGCTTCTGTTGAAAGCTTATCGGACCATGTTACAGTCACCATTCATTTGGCTCCCTTCCCTCTTAGAAAGTCTGTTCTTTAGTTCCAGAAAAACTTAGGCCCTTGAAGACTTTACAGAAGAGATACACTTGCTATGAGAGTCTGTTCCTATTAAGCTTCCACTCAAGCAGGATTCTCAGTTAGCGCTGACGGGGGTGAGGCCGGTGTGTCTGGGTGCACTAGGCAGAAGTGCGTATTTCCTGTGAAGCAGGATGAGGTGGTAAATGTAGGTTGGGGCTGGACTCGGGCGGAGGTGTTTGGGTGGGATCAGTGGTTTGATTTTATTTAGCTGTTCAAAGTGGGTTTTGTTTTTGTTGTTAGAATTTATGCTTTTCTGAGGTTCGTATGTACTAACCATCGCCCTTCCCCACCTCACAGAATGTCACATTAAAGCCCAGGCAAATTCTACTCTTTCTGTTCGCCTGTGTAGGGAACTCTCAACTTTGGTGGGATCAGGGTGGGCAACGGACCAACAGAGGAGGATGCTGAGATTATTCAGCATGACCAGCTCTCCACCCATTCAGAGGACGCGGAAGAGGTAAGACCCAGCGGTGTGGGCATCCTCTCCTCTCACCTCGGGGCAGCCTTAGTCTTGTGTACCTAAGTGACCTCACTCCATCTTCTTGAAAGTAAAAACGCTAATACACATGATCACCCGCCTTCTGGACCTCTTAAGGTGCCCAGCTTTTTCCAGTGGGCCCTGCTCCGAACTCCAGCGCTGTCTGCAGAGCCCGCAGCGCCCACAGCCGTTTGTTCTGTTGTCCGACCTCTTGAATTCCACGTTGCCTGCAGTACCCTGCATGCGGTCTCAGTTACTCCTCCCTCCAACCAAGGCGGAATAGGCCTCAGCCTCCCGGCTTCCCAGTTCTTGTGACCAGAAATACAGACCGTTTGTGGCCCCCTCCGAGCCTGGGTCCAGCTGGAACTGAAGTCACTGGTACTGTCCTGTTCCACTGACAGGCTCTTGCTACAGACATTTTATCTGAACCTTTTAAAAGCATTATTTGCTTGCTTTTTCCAGGGAGAGTGAAAGTAGTAAAGCCAGGCTAGACTTTTCCTTGAATCACCACCTCTGAGCTCAGTGTTTAAAATCTCCTTGACTGACCTGACCACAAAGCCTCTGAACCGAACTGTCGAATCTCATCTAGTCATGATACTCTTTTTAAAGCAAACAGAATAGGAGTAGAGGACCTAGGTAACTGGACTTTTCAGTCTGACTGACCTCTTCCTCTACATGTATAACTTTTTAAAAAAGAAATTGCAAGGACTGGGGTGTCTTTTAAAAATATAAATGTCAATGCTGTAAATACTGTTGATGTTGCTCTCTGTGTACACGGAGGACGCCTGCCTCCAACATATCAGGCCCTTTAACATCCACAGTCCCCTCCCTCGCCCCACCCCGAAGCAGTCAGTGGCCTTGTGCTCGTGACATGTGACCTTGTGTGTGACGTGACTTCCCACTAAGTGTAAATTTGTGTTTTCAAGCCTACCGAGGACGAAGTGGTAAGACCAGCTGGCTTTGCCTTCATGTTTATCTGTAGCTTCTCTTCCAATCCTTGTGATCACTCTGCTGACCCTGCCGCGTCCTGGCCACACATGACCCCCGTGCATCCCGCATCTCATCGGCCATTTCTAACCAGTTCATGAACCCGTGTTCTGAAAAAGCTCATCTCCATTCACTGCATCTCATGTCAGTCACCTTTGTCTTGTCTCATTGACTCTGCTGATCTAATACCTCTGAGAATGGCTTTGAAAGGAGCTACAAGTAATGTCTGCTTTGGCATTCTTGAAGTAACTCCCCTTGGGAGTTAAATCCCTTTGGCCTCTGTCTTCCTCTCCTGTGATGTTGTGGTCGCTCTACCACTGGGAGTAGCTGTTTCCTCCCTGCTTCTCTGAGTGTTTATGAGTAAAGCTTACCTTTTCCCCCTGTCTGAGATGCAGCAGCCTTCCTGCTGCCCTCATCAGCTTGATGGTGCTTGAAGTGAGAATTGCTGGCCCTTTGCTTGGGGTTCCCTCTTGTGACCCAGGTGGGAGGTAGACAGCTCTCAGGAGGAGGTTTTGCCTCGCAGATGCATCCCAGAAAAAGCAATCCATCTGCATGAAGGGAGTTCATATTATGCCAGTCACACACAGACAAGAACAGAAAGAAAGTTGACTGAACATTCACGCCTTCCAGCTCAGCGTTCATTCAGTTAGCGGCACGCAAATTTCAAATTTGGTTTTTAAAACACCTTGCTGCACTGTTTGCATCTTCCCCCAAAACTTCTGTCTAAAATACCTAGACCCGTGAACTTCACCTGCCTCTCCTGGCTCTCCTGGCCCTCTCTAAGAGGGTAGCGGGATGGTAATGAATGGAAAATCCTTTGCTGTTCTACATAAAAACAGGCCTCTGGGTTTCCCTGAAGACTGGAGGGGCCCCTGTGCTGACATCCAGGGGCTTCGTTCCTGGCCCGCCCCTGTGGGCACAGTCCCAGGTGGTGCTGCCTGGCAGGGCTGGTAGGAATGTGCCTCTGCCACCCCCCTCTCCCACTAGCACCTCCTCCAGCAATACTGCCCCTTCTGAATGTCTTCCAAGTTGAGCACCCAGTGCCGTTAGCAGAATGGCCCATGTTTGTAGCCACATCCCAGGGCAGTTGGCCATCCAGAGAAGATGCCTATCAGCAGCCTCCCCAGTTGCTGGCCTCCAGCTCCCTCAGCTTCCTAAGTAGTTAAAACATCTTATCTTTATCAGGTAACAGATACAGTCTAGTTCTCTATGGTCAAATTTAGATAACTCACAGTTATTTTAAGATTTTTCTTAAAAGTCCAGCCTCCTAGAACTTCCCCATTTGACCTGGCTGTGACCACCCATTTTCCCCACACAGGTCATTGTTCCAGCTGGGTAGAAGCGGCAGTCCCTCTCCCCGGGGAGGCCAGTGGGAGCACTCGGCCTAGTTGTAAACCAGGCCCAGGCCAGTTGATTGAGAAGCCCTTAGCGGCTATAACCACTCAGCAGGCACCTCCCTATGCATCTTTTCATTGGGTACATTCATTCCACCCATCACCCTCCATGTGGCAAACACTGTAATTATTGCCGCAGAAACTGAAAGATGGAAAACAGTCCTTGCCTTCAAGGAACTCCTAAGTTGAGGAGACAACCTGGGTGACAGATGCTGTGATCAAGCTGTGCTCAGGATGCAGTAGGAGCACAGAAAGAGAGCACCTGACAATACCTGGGTGGGGGTGGGACAAGGAAACCAGGAAAGGAATCCCTAAGGGAATTATTCCTATTCCAAGCTCAGCATGAATCTCTGGAGAGGGAAGGGGTGCGGCCCCACCAGTGTGTGTGGTTGTTGTACTGCAGGCATGGAGGCCTACAGGCACATCATGTGTGGGGATAAGCAAGTATGTGTGGCTGGAGCACAAAGTCAGGACCAGCACAGGTGCGAGGTGAGACAAGGGATAGGCAGCAACCAGCCAGAGCAGAGTGTTTGGACAACAGGAGCTGTCAGAGGGCGGTGATGCTGCAAGTGACGTGACAGCTGTGCAGTGCTGAGACGGTACGGATGCTGTGGGGTATACTGAGTGCAGAGGGGACACAGTCTAGAGATGGGAGGGCCAGCTGGGCTGATAAGTCAGCCAAGAGTGGGGAGGCCTGAAGTGAAGTGAGGTGTTTACTAGCCAGTGTCTCAGGCCAATATGAGATTAAGGAACTGAAAACTCCAGGTCCCAGTGCCCCAGTGAATATAGGCCTTGAGAGCCTGACTGGCTTCCAGGCTGCAGTTCCTCAGACATCACCAGGGACTCTGGTAGACATGCACACGAGTAGAAGTAGGTTTTTGTGGGGTCAGAGGAGAACGGCTAACTAGTTTAGTTTGAATGGCATGAGTTCAAAGCATCTGTGGCATCCCAGGAAGAGATGTAGCACAGCAAGTAGGAAATAGGTGGCTCGGAGCTGGAAGTGTCCATTTGGGAGTCCCTCTGATGGTGCCTACTGAAACCCTAAGGGCAGTGCTGCAGGGGAGCCTTAAGGGCTGAGGCTGGAACCCCAGCAATTAAGAAAGAGCCATTATGGAGACCAAGAAGGAACGTCCAGAGACGTAGAAGGAAGCCACGGGGAGGTGAGTGTCTCCAGGGAGGAAGGAAAGACAGTGGTGGAGACGCTGTGGGTTCATGACACACGCGTCTGTTAGGTCTCACGGTTGGGAAATAAGGGTGAACATGCCAAAAAGGACTGGCTTGTGGAGCAGAGAGGGTAGAAGCCCAGGTAAGGTGTGGAAGGGTGTTGTGGAAGGGGGCAGGGAATGTGCTGATTCATGGTCAGTCTAGGTTGACTCACTGGGCAGGTCTGAGGGGCAGACTCCTCCTAAGTGCTCGACTGGATTTCTCAGTTCTCACCCCATCATCATCTTCCCCCATTTTCTACTTCAGAAAACATGCCTGAGGCAGGAAGATAGGGATCTAGGAGAGGAGACAGTGAAGGTAATGCCCAGAAGGGAAGCTTTCTCCCTCAGTCTCCTTTATTTTGCTTTTCAGGTGGGAGAAACACAAGATGGAATAAAAATCTGAAAGGGGTGGTTTCTCAGAGAACTGGCATAAAGGCCCGCCCTCCTTGGATGGTGGGCCTCTCCTCCCTCTGAGCACAGGCTCTGGGACAACAGCCAGCAGTGGTGGGGAGAAGCTCTTAAACAGCACTGTTGGGATTGAGGTCACTAGGATTACCCCAGTTTTCATGGTCACTTAGAGGCCAGAAGAGCCTGTTCCAGGAGAAAACCCCAGAAATACCCTAGCGCTGACAGACATGAAAGCAAGAGAGGTGGTTGCCCAGTTATGATGTGTCAGGGCTGGCCTGTCCACACGTTCTGCACCCCTAAGATCTGGGCTGTTCAGCCTTCCCAGCCCGCCCCTTCTCCCATCCCATCCTCATGCAGTTTCCCAAGGCAAGTCTGGTGTCCTTTGGGAGTGGAGTCATGTGAGCCTTGAAAGAAAGTGAAAAATAGACTGACTTGAGGCCAGTAGGATGAGGGGTAGCCCAAAAGCCTTCTGACTGGGGGGAGGAGCCTGGAAGGGAGCCTCCCTGCTGTTTAGTGGCAATGATTGCCCCACTAGTGCACCTCGTGCTTCAGCATCAGCCAGGCCTAGAGCAGTCCTAAAGGTGGACCCTGCAGACCTTGTTCCAGCCCCACCCCTTTATTCTAGAAATAATTCTTGGTGTTGAAAGGAAAACTGGGAGAAAGAGAGCATGAGGACAACAAGTAAACAAAAAGCAATAGCTGTTCTGTCCTGTCTTAACTACCCAAGCAGGAATTTGCAACACTTTTGCCAGAATTTTCCTGTGTAATATTCTCAGAAGTCACAAAAGCAAAAGGAGATTATCTTGCTCCCAACGGGTTGTAAAAAAGAAGTGAAGTGGCTATAGAGGGCTAATCTTCTCCAGGCAGCGCGGCCTAGGGGAGAGCCCTTCCTGGCCTCCCAGCACTGCAGCACTGGAGCCTCCTCTCGCAGGGGAAGTTGGGAGTCCTAGAGCAGGTCCTGCAGCCGGTCCTTGGGGCCCTGGGTCCTGACAGTCTGAGGGCTCCGCTCATACTCCTCTCTTGAGCTAACAGCCTGGCAGAGAGAAAAAACATGTGTTGAGAAGATTGTCATGAAGATGTAGTCATTGAAATGTATTCTGAGGGGAATGGCAGTGTTCCAACGCGGGGCTAAGCTAGGCAGGATTTCTGGGGCTGACACAGCCACAGTCACCTGAGTGCAAAGCCGGGTCTTCTGGCCCACATAGCCGTGCGTGCCCACCCTCAGACCCAAGGTGCTCACATGGCCACAGTTCAAATCCTCCTGGACTCGCCCCTCCCTCCAGCCTTACATGTTCTCTCTCGCTTCCTCCCATGACAGTTTGACTTTGGGGACACAATGGTCCACCAGGCCATCCACACCATCGAGTACTGCCTGGGCTGCATCTCCAACACCGCCTCCTACCTGCGGCTCTGGGCCCTCAGCCTCGCTCATGCACGTGAGTCTCAGGTTGAAGACTATGGTCTCCCCTTCTCTGGGCACCGCAGGTGGGGGCTTATATAGAGTGGAAATTCCATAAAGGCTGTAGGATTATTCAGGTTCTTAGTTTATCAGGGAGAATGATGTCCAGATGGGAGGATCTGTGCTTCTCCAGACTAGCTGTATGTGGTGGTCCCTTCCAGGCCACAGGAAGCCTGGGGGCAAGGAGCCTTTCAGGGTGAGGGTTGGAGAAGCAAAAACTGTAGTTGAAGTGACCCTGTTGTGTCTCCCCATTCCCTAGAGCTGTCTGAGGTACTTTGGACCATGGTGATCCACATCGGCCTGAGTGTGAAGAGCATGGCGGGAGGCCTGGCACTGTTCTTCATCTTTGCTGCCTTTGCCACCCTGACTGTCGCCATCCTCCTCATCATGGAGGGCCTCTCGGCTTTCCTTCATGCACTGCGGTTGCACTGGTGAGTGGCACACAGGGGCAGGAGGTGGGAACGCGGCCTTAACCACACTGAACACAGCTTTACTTTTGTGCTGAGTCCAGTCTCTTCACTAGGCAGTGCCTGCTTTCCCGTCCCCACACCCGAGGACCTGTCTTAGTAGTGAGTGTCAGGAAATGTCCCTGGTCAGGAGAAGCACAGATCGGTTTCCACAGTCTGCAGGGAGAACCTTTTCTAGGTCTCTAGGTGCTGTCAGGTCCCTTCTTCCTACCTCAGCATTCTTTAGTGGTATTCATCATGGCTGAAAGAAGCTACTGGAATTGGCTGTGTCTATCTGTCTATTTCTCTTTGCTCTGACATACAACTTTCTTCTGTCTTTAGAATAATGAAAGCAGCACTGGAATAAATTCAAGTCCAGGAAAGTGCTAGAGCTTATTCTACCCTAGTTTTGTCACACATGCCCCTACTTCTGTCTTGCCATTGCCTTTAGTAGGGGCCCTGGCAGCAACATGTTCATGAGGGGAGCGCTGGCTCTAGATTGTAGCTCAGTACACGAAAGCAGGTCAGGGGGGAGGCGGGTGAGAGGATTCACCAGAGACAGAGTGGGGAGCAGAACAGGCAGATCCACTGAAATACACTGCTGAGGGGAGCAGTGGGGAGACAGGAGAGGTCTGCTGCTCCACGTGGGTCATCTCCCTGTGGGTCATCTTCCTGACCAGGGATCGAACTCACGCTGCAGTGGCTGCCAGTAGCTTCATGGTGCCGAGACTTAACCCCTTGTGCTACCAGGGAGGCCCCTGATTTGTGCCTCTTAATTGGTCTGCTGAGCTAGCTCAGTCCCAGGCAGAGGGAGAGCTGGTGTTGGGGCCTGGCTGTGGCTGTGACCTCAAATAGGGTTGCCAGATTTAGCAAATATATATTACAGGACACCAGTCCAATTTGAATGTCAGACAATGGAACAATTTTCTTTTTTTTTTTTTTAAGATTTATTTATTTATGCACACAAGAGCTGGGGTACAGGCCAGAGATGCAGGGGGTGAGAGGATTCACCAGAGACAGAGTGGGCAATAGAACAGGCAGATTGACCAAAGTACACTGAGGGGAGAGTGGGCGAGACAGGAGAGGTCTGCTGTGCCATGTGGGAATCTCCCTGGCTGGCTGGGGATTGAACTCATGCTGCAGAGGCTGCAGATTGCTTCATAGTGCAGTGCTTAACCCCTTACCCTAGGGAGGCCCTGGAACAATTTTCTTAAAGTATAGTTACTTCCCAAATGTGCTTGGGACATATCAGTACTAAAACCTGAAATCCTGCACGTTATCTGGCTGCTGCCCTCTACAGTCCCCATTTCCATGTTGTGATTTCTTCCTCTCTTTCTGGGTCTTAAACCCCACATGCTCTGGCCCTTTCCCTAGAGAAACACCCACATTCCCAATATGGGCACACAGTCTTTCCAATGTAGGGGATCATAAACTCGCTGACCCTTCCTTAAGAACCCGTAGGTGAGCTGGTCTGAGGTGGAGAGTTCCATCACTTTTCCAGACCTGAAGAAAATCTAAACTCTGAGCCTGAGAAACCTCTTCCCCACTATTATTTTTAATTTTTCTTCTGGTTGGTTACAGCCCAACCTTTGTATCATTCAGAGGGAGGAAGAGGGGCAGGGTGAGGCGTGCCTGGGACTTACTCTTCCCTCAAAAGCTCCTTTAGAAGAAAGTTTCTGCTGTGTCAGGGAGCACTGCTCTCTCGGCCTGGCTTTCCCCTCCTTGCTGGCCTCTTCCCCGCCCAGCTGTTGTTTACTGTGGAGTCTGGAGGTTAGGAAGGCTGCGTGCCTCGGACTGCTGGCGGGCTCCCCTGTTCTCAGCTTATCAGCGTGCTCTCCCCAGCACACTTCCTCAGCCACTCAGTGTGAAGGGACGTCTATGTAGCCAGCCTGTGGTGACTCACTGTTTCTTGCCCTCTTGGCTTCCTTCCTTTCCTATTTACTTCTCTGTCTCCTGAGCTTGAGGGAACAGTTACCACCCCACCTTGAATCTGGTCCAAGTGGAGAGTCTGTCACCTCCCTGGTAAGGTGGGGAGCCGTCAAGGAACTGAACCCAAACTGTCAGAGCCGTGAGCCAGGCCCAGCGTGGCACGAGGAAGGCTGCCTGGGCTTGGCCTAATCTCCAGGGTGAGCTGAGGCAGTTTGGGGTGCTATGTTTTGTTGCCAGAAGATTACTTCTCACCTATGGCCCTGGAGTGTAGGTGTCTTCCCACATCCTCTTGACTGGGCCTGAGAAAGTAACAAGAAAGCAGGCTTCAGAATCAGGCCAACCTCAGTCGAATTCCAGCTCTGCCAGGCCTGGCCTGGTGACCCCGAGGGAAGTCCTTACGTGTCTCACCTTTTCTGATGTGAAAAGAGGACTACTCTGAGAAGGCCTCTGTGGTCAAGTAGGAAGCAGTGCGCATGCTGCCGCCCGCTTGAAAGTCAGAAGGCTGTGGAGGGGACGTCTAGCTGTGGTCCCCTACTTGCTTTGTAGTCTGTTTGGAGAGAGGGAAGACCCAGGGGGAGGCACATCTGAATGCCCCTCAGGTGCCATTTGCATGGGCCGGTTTGTCAGGCATGTTGTACTATGGGGCCTGCGGGGCTTCGGTAGTGGAAGTATTGGGTAAAAGAGACAACACCAAAGGCTCTTTTCCGCAGCTTTTAGAATCCCGTCAGGACACAAGTTTGGAAAGGGAAGGAAACAGGTGCTTGTGCGCCCCCTCCTGGCCAAACATGGCTGTGCTGCAAGGGCTGCTGGTCTCTGTCCCCGCCCTGGGAGTCCTCAGGTGTGAGGGGCGCTGGAGGTCAAGGCTGGTCCTGCAGGAAATGGCTATGGGGGTTTGGCTGCTGGTTCTCCTGGCTCCAGCCTGGACACCTTCAGGCCTGTCACTTTACCCTTGGTTTTCAGCTGGGGCTTCCTGATTCTGATACAAGGGCTGCCCACTATACCAGCCCTGGGTCTCTTTGTTGGGGATAAGAAGAAAAATATCTGACTTGATAATAAAAATAAGCCACTGATCAGAGATTCACATAGGCCACAAGAAGGTGGGTGACGGGTGTGAAGACAAATTGAGTAGTTTACCAAGTAACCTGCCAATTGTCTTATGTCTTTCCTCCCACTGGATATATAAAATGTGCTTGGCTTTCTGGCCCACTATAATTAGGCCTCTTTCTCCTTAGCAAAGGCAAAGCCTGGAATGTGATCTGTAGTTGTAACTGTGGACACCACACTGACTGCAGCACATGGCCCACCTTCACAGGCCCTAGCCCCCCCCTGCTACCCAGCATGCCCCACTTACATGCAGACGTGCACTCGCGCTCCCACAGACTGGTGGCTAAAGGCCACGACTGGAATGCAATGGTGCACAGCCCAGCAGCATGGGGTAGTTAGGGGTTCGCTGCCCCAGGAGAAGTAGAAACACCTGAATGTGGTTCCTGATGGCCATCATGTCTGCCAGGTGGGCCGTCAGACCAGCCTGTGTTCCACGCCCTGTGCAGACAGTGGCAGAAAGGGCCAAGAGGCAACCTGGCCCAGAATCGTCTCTCTAAAACAGCCACCCCTCAGCCACACCCCCTGCCAGGAAAGGCAAGCAGCCGGGACTCCATCCCCTTCCCTCAAGGAAACCAGGTTTCCTGTTGCTTAGCAGGAGTGCTCTTTCTGTGGGCTCCCAGTTAGGCCTCTGCCAGCTATTTGGCTGAAAGGGGTGACGGGGACTCATCTGGCTTCCCAAGGCTTCCTCATAACTGTTGAAATCTTGAGATGCGTTTGAGTGGCTTGGAGTGTGACAGAGCCCCAGAAGCTTCTGAGGAGAGCAGTGCAGCATTCCCCTCAAGAAGAAAGATCTCACAAGGTGGCCAGGAAGACCCTGCCGCACCCCGACACCAAGCACTTCATGTTTGTACTTTCTCAGGAAGCACGCGTTTCCCTGCTTGGGAGGGAGAAGCGGGTGGGGAGACTGACAGGGAAATTGCTTCCAGCTCTGTGCTAGGAGGTCGGGGTTAGCATGACTGGGAAGGGAGGCGAAGTCAGGCCAACCCTCAGGTCCCACTCTGTCTCCAGCCTGGAGAGCTGTGCTGTCTCAGCGGGACCCTCCCCCCCCAACTTGACTCATGTAGATCTCTGTACCCCCACCCCAGCCATGTGATCCCCTTCCCCACTGGACCCCGGGGGTAGAGGAGGTATGCAGAGGGTTTCCGGGGGAAGAGTGATGGCCCCACAAGCAGCTGAAAACTCCTGAAACCTCCCCGCCTGCCCAGGTGGAGTTAGAATTGTTTGTGTGATTAGTGAGCCAAGAGAGCAGTTCTGGAAACCTCACAGGATGCCAGGCAACTTACCCACTACCTGGCTGTATGCTGACAAGTGAAAAGGGTCTGTGTTCACCTGTTTTCAGTTGTTCAGAAATACCCCAGCCATATGCAGACACAGTCCACCCACTGTGAAGGATTCAGACCCCACAGAGGTGCGCAAGGAGCAAAACCAGCCCCCTCTGCATTTCCCGGGAGGGAACCTGGGGCTGGAGCCTGTGTGGGGCTTGTGAGGGATGCTGCACGTGGCGGCCACCACAGCTCCCAGTGCGGAATGCCTCGGCCAACTCCAGCCTGCAGCTTCCCGTTCCTGGACACTCTTTTCCCTGAGGGAAGCTTCACCCAGGCTCTACTGGGAGTCCTCCAGGATTTGGAGGCTTTGGGACCTTGGCCCAGCCCCTGCGGAACGTGGGGGTACAGCGAGAAGACAGCCTGTTCCTACACCCACACAGTACATTCTGTTTCACCTCTTCTTGCCTGGGGTGGAGCTGGCAGCTCTGCCACTCTGTCCTCAGCCAGCACCCCACACCTGAAGGGACCCCTGAGGAGTCCTCCCTTGCTGGGGCCACTCCCACCACACCCCGTTTTGCTTATTTTTCCTTCCTGGCTTGGAGTGAGGCAGCCTGGAGAAGAGAAGCAAGCTGGGCCTGGAGGCTGAGGCCTCTGGAAGCCCTGGGTGCAGGAACCACTGCCTGAGGCCTGGCTGCCCTCTGTTTGGCCTATCTGTTCTTCAGGGGTTCTCGTGCCCCAGGTCACACAGCACTGTGTGGAAACTATTCCTCAGGGCACCTCTCCTTTGCTTTTTTATTCTCTGAATCATGCATTTTTCTGCCCATATTTGGTGGTGATTTGGCTGCTGGGCAGCCATCCAGGGCAGGCCTGCAGGGGAAGCCACGCCAGCCTGCCTCGCTCTGCTCCCTCACAGGAGCAAGGTCTTCCTGCTCCCTCAGAGCCCCTGCCCCCTTTCAGAGCCTGGGGAGACCAACAGGGATGGATGCTGAGCTGCTGGGAAGGGAGTTAATGCTCTGCTTTTCCTTTCAGTCCCCAGGAGGAGAATTCTTTCTCAGATGTTTTTGTAGTTGGAGAATATTTTTGCCACTGCTTTGAGAAGACATCCCTCCTAATTTCCCCCTTTCCTGGGAATTTCCTCCCCTAAATCAAAAGCTTCCAGCTTTCACTCACAGCCCTCCCTGTAGGGAAACAGAGGTGCTTGCCAGAGTCCTGGCTGAGCCCATACCACTCAGGGCTTCCCTTAGAGCTCTGCCTGGTAGCTCCTGGCAAGAGAAGGGCTTTGGGGGCCCCTGCGCTGCTGTTAGACTCAGGCCAACTGACCTTGTCTTGCTCATGGTTTTTACAAAGGGTTTTGCATCAAGATCCTCTGTTTGCTGGGGGCTTTCTCCTCAAGTTCATGGTGGAATTTAATTTGGGTGGGTGGGGGCAGGGCCTCTTTCTGAGCCAACTGTGAAGTCCTGAAAGGTTTTGTGCATGGATGACTTTCCTTTTCCCTTTCCCCAGGGTCGAGTTCCAGAACAAATTCTACAGTGGGACCGGTTTCAAGTTCTTCCCCTTCTCCTTCGAGCACATTCGGGAAGGGAAGTTTGATGAGTGAGCACCTCTGGGCAGTGCCCCGCTGTCCTCCACACTCTCCACAGCAATTAGCGGTATCCTCTTGCCTGTGGTCGTGCTCCCTGGGCCTTGGGACATTTGTGGCATCCCTCCCACCTTTCCCCAGTCCCCTGCTTTGTGTGTAGTGTGGCGATTTTCTGGAGAGAAGCTGGGCCCTGGCTGTCACTCACACTGGGCACCCACTGGGCCTCCATCCAGCCAACAGCCCCTTCTCTGTCCCCTGGTATCGGCCCCGTTCTGCATATACACATGAGCCCAGAGCCCTTTACACTTGCACCTATTTGCAGTTGGAAGGAGCCTTCACACCTAGACTTTGAGTCCCCTGCCCCTGCCATTCTAGTTACTGGTTGGGGAGGGATACTCTTTAACATACCCTTGGGTTAGCATGGGGCAGGCGCAGGAAGGTGGTATTTCTGGCCCTTGCCCCACCCCCTGTGGTCTTCAGAGTGCTTGTTAATTGGGAATTCTGCAGAACCCAAGTAAAACATCATGCATGACTGCTCCCTGTCACCCCCCAGGTCCAGGACCCCCAACACCACCTCTTTAACCCCTACTCTAGACTCATTTCCCTCCCCTTCCCTGTTTGCACCCAGCATAACATAGCACAGCAGGGCCTGGCTGGCTCCTTGGCTGGTGCCTCTCAGGCCCCATGGCCCTGCCACAAGCATACCCTCTGGGCAGCACCCATGGACGTGCCCTCCTGGCGCAGACTGCACCTTCGCTGCCGATCGCGAGCTTCACATGCAGAACAGTGGTCATCACGGGCAGGTTCTCCTGCAGGCCTGCCTTGCTCTGCCCACCAGTGTGCCTCCCCTCTCCCCACTCTGACCCCAGGTTGAGAGACTCGGGTCGTAGGCAGGGGAGGCCAGCGTCATTTATGGCTTGCTGGTGGACAGGAGTCGGCAGGGCTGCCAGTGCGTGAGGTGGTGAGCGATGAACCCCTATCCTGTGGGCTGGTGGTGGGCCCTGCCAAGGAGCCACCTTCCCTGTCACCCCCAGCGGGCGATGGATCTTAGGGCCTCTTAATCATGTGTTGGTGCAGCAGCCCCGGCTGCTTCAGCTAAATTGATCCCCTGCTGCCTCCAGTGGCCCCTGCCCTCCCCCACCCTGGCTCTTCTGAGTGCTTAGAGCTGCTCTCCAGGCTGGGCTGGTTCTGGACGCGGCCCCCTCCCCACTCACCCCTGTGCAGTGTGACCTGCCCCAGACCTTGTGCGGTGCCCCCTTCCTGCTGGTCCCCATGGTTCATGTGATCGTCCTCCCTCTGTTTACAGCAGGGCTGGAAGCAGATTTCTTGGTCAGGAACCTGCCTGAGGCCTTTCTGTTCAGACATTGCTGTGCTGAATAAAGTGTGTTTGACTCTACAGGGAGGCTGCCTGTGTGTGTGCCACAACCCCTGGTGCCCCCACCCTGTCCCTCCCTCCCGTCAGCATTTCTGTTTTTCTCTGATCCAAGGCCACAGCTCTAGCTGCCAGGCTGGGCAATTCTTTTGTGAAACTCTCACCTCATCTCGAGTCTCCCAGGCACCTTCCCACTCTCATGAGCCAAGGCAGCTCTGCAGGCTACCCAGCACATAAGGGACTTGGGGGCCTGGCCTCTCCCCTTCCCACACTGCACCCACCCAGCCTGGGGAAGGGGCCTGGGCGTCTACCACCCGCTGCCTCCTCTCCAAGCTGCTCTCCAGGGCTCAGCAGCCTGCTGTTTTGAGTCCTAGTGCCGGTGGCCTTGGTGTGAGTGGAGGCTCAGTGTGGGCTCCTCAGAGCAGCTGGAGAATGTGAAGTGCTGAGGAGATGGCAGACTGTCCGGGCAGGCAGGCAGGCGGGCAGGGGCAGGGTGCCCTGTCCTCCCAACTGCTATGGGAGGCGAGGCGCCCGCATTCTTGCTCAGTGCCCTCCTTCTCTGTCCCTACCCTCCCCCCCCCCCCCCCAGGGCCTCCAGGCCAGAGGCTGTGCAGGAAAGTGAGTGAGCAGCAGGCCGCCAGCTGCAGGGAGGGCAGGGGCGCTGTTCACCATATTCCGTACCCCACCACCTGCAAACCCACTCCTCGCTCACAGGCCCCCTCTTGCAACAGGCCCTAGGCATTCTACCCCACCTGGCTCCTCAAAAATCTGGTAAATGAGCTCTTTTAGCTTCTGTTACTCAAAAAGGGAATCCCAGGCGGAGTAGATATTTGGAGTCAGTGGAGCAGAACTGAATTGAAATAAACCCTAAAATGTATGGATTCAATTGATTTTCCACAGAGATGCTAAAGTAGTTCAATGGGGAGAGAACTGCTTTTCAAGTGCTGTTAATGGAATGGGGTGTTCACATACTAAAGAACAATCTGGACTATAGCCCCACACTTGGTACAAAAACTAAATCAAAATGTAGGAGTTAAAACTACACCGCTGAGGGAAATCCTCGGTGAACAGCTCCGTGACCTGTGTTAGGCAATGGCTTTTAGGTCTGACACCAAAACAAAAGCACAGCAATAAAAAAATAAATAAGTAAAAGATAAGTTTGGCCGTTAGCAACATTCAAAATGTGCTTCAGAGGACAGAATCAAGACAATCAGCCCGTTGGGAGAAAATATTTGTGAGTCAAGTATCTGATAAGGGGCTTGTGTGTAGAACAAAGAAACCTTGTAGCTCAAAAAACACAAGCACGTCAATGTTAAAGATGGACAAAAGATTTAAATAAACATTTCTCCAAAGAAGACATCAAAGGCCGATAAGCTCATGAAAAGATATTCAAAGTCATTTGCTGTTAGAGGATTGCAAATCAAAGCCACAAAGAGATACCACACCAGAACCACTAAAAAACGCTGTAGGAAGAAAGCCAAGTGTCACAAGGATGTGGAGAAACTGGCCTTGCTAGCCCGGCTGGTGGGAAGGTAGATGGTGAGGGAAAGCAGGCCCTCAAAATGTTAAACATAGAATTCCCCTCAGACCCGGCAATCCCACTTCTGGGGGGTTCTCAAAACGACGAAAACAAGCACAAGCACGTGGACGCAAATGTTCCTGTGGCATTATTTATGAGAATCTCCAAATGGAAATAACCCCGGTGCCCGATGACTGGTGCCTGGATAAGCAGAAGAGGGGGTCTCTGTGCTCCGCATGGCACTCCACGGAAAGAGGCGTGGCACGCTGAAGTGCTGTCCACACAGCTCAGAATCATGCTAAGGAGGCAGACAAGGCTGTGTGGGCGTACGAGTCCATTCCTGGGAAGTGGCTAGAAGGGGCAAATCTAGAGTCAGAGAGGATTGGTGGCTGTTGGATGGGCTGGAGTTAAAATGGGTACAGAGTTGCTTTGGTGGGGGGGCAATGAAAACATCAAAAATTAGATTGTGGCGATGATCACACAACTCTGCATAGACTAGAAACCACTGAATCAAAATGTAAGAGTTAAAACTACACCGCTGAGGGAAATCCTCGGTGAACAGCTCCGTGACCTGTGTTAGGCAATGGCTTTTAGGTATGGCACCAAAACAAAAGCACAGCAATAAAAAAATAAGTAAAAGATAAGTTTGGCCGTTAGCAACATTCAAAATGTGCTTCAGAGGACAGAATCAAGACAATCAGCCCATTGGGACAATCAGCCCCCAATCTGCTGCTACCAATCACTTTCAATTGGTAAACATCTACAATCTGCATCAGTAAAGCAGGGGGAGGCCAAAACCCTCCTCAGAAATTCTTCTCTTGTCTGGCTGGGTCATGGGCGGGCTGTCTGGGTCATGGGCTAAACAGAACTCCCAAGATCTAATGGTCTCCGGCTGCCTGGCTGCCTCCAGCCCAGCCATTTCTTTTCTTTTTTTTTTTTTTTTTAAAGATTTATTTATTTATCCATACAAGAGCTGGGGTACAGGCCAGAGGTGTGCAGGGTGAGAGGATTCACCGGAGACAGAGTGAGGGGAGCAGTGGGTGAGGCAGGAGAAGTCTGTTGCGCCATGTGGGTTTCTCCCTGGCCAGCCCCAGCCAGGGATCGAACTCATCCTGCAGAGGCTGTGGCTTGCTTCACAGTGCAGTGCTTAACCCCTTGCGCCACCCGGGAGGCCCCAGTTCTAAAGAAGAACTAACTGGAAACAGCTGAGGAAGATGTGGGATGTTCCGGAAGCCTGGGATGGAGTTGGGGGGCAGGATGGATCCATTGCTCATGTTTTTAAGGGACATGCCCTTTATCTGATCCCCTTCCTATGGAATCCTGGGACCCCAGACATCTGCCAAGTGCATCTGCTCCCCTTATCCAGGGAATGCCTCTCTCCCTTTGAGGCCCTGGAACCAACACAGGAGAGGGTGGTTTGGGGCCTGCTCAGCATCATAGAGACAGGACAATTCATCACCACCTTCAGTACCTCACTCTCTGTCCTGGCCTTCTTTGGAGACCTGGGTGGGACTGCACCTCTCTGCCCCAGGAGCCCTAGGTGGAAGGGGCATTGGCGCTCCCTTCAGATCTGAATGAGCGGCCTGCCCACCCAGCCTACCCCAGGCATGTCCTAGGTGTGGGCTGCTCCCTGCTGGTCAGACGGGGAAGGACTCATGCCTCCTCACAGGCCAGGTTGGTGGGATCCTCCCTAGGCAATTGGATTGGCAGGGTGGAGAGACAAGAGACCCTGGAGGAGAGTGCACAGGCAGGGGGCAGGCTGCCTGGCCTGAAAGTGGAGGCGAGATAGAGCGGACAGCCCATCCAACTGTTTCACCAACATGAACTGTAAAAATAACAAAAGTGTGTCACATGGTATACGCATCATAGAGAACAAAAGGCCCTCTTATAAAAACACACCTTCAATTCAGGAGTAACCCACCCAGAGCGACCGCTGTTCACAGAGTCTTTCTTTAAAAACACACAAATGGGAATTACCATACCCAGTGGTCTGACCCTTTTTAAAAAAGCACGTAATTGCAGAACTTTCCTATTAAGTACCAACCTATCTCCTCGGCTTTCCTCACACCTGATATTTCAATCTATCGACATACCTTAATTTCTTCAACCAGCTTCCTGCAGGCCACACAGAGTTCCCAGCCCGGTGGGGAAGATGAGAGAAGAGTGGGACCTGCCCGGAGCATCAGGGAGGTTCCTACCCCAGTGTCCATGAGTTCAGGACACCCCCTGGATGGGGCCCCCAATCTGCTGCCCCTGCCAACAAGTCTCCACCACTCTGGATGAACCCAGACCCCACAGAGAGGCCCCTGAGCCTGACAGTGGACCTGCAGCCTCATGTTCCCTAGGATTCAGAAATGCTGGGACAAAGGGTCCTGGAAGGAGGAGATTCTGAGATATCGCACCTGGAGTAAAAGGTGTCTGGAGGGGCAGTCGGGGAAGAGGTGCTGGAAGGGAGTGGAGGGGAGCCCAGGAGGTTGGGAGGGGTTACAGGCAAGGGCACCATGAGGGCACAGCTCTCTGGGCCAGTGGTGGAGCCACGCTCCCTGACAAAGACAGAACCTTCTGCTACATGGAACTGAATGGGAGCAGGGGCTGCCATCTTGCAGGAACCTCTCCCTGAGCTGGGAATTGGCTATTGACTTGTGTCTGTAGTCGGGGGCAGTAGAGGGAGATGAAGACACAGGGCAAGCTCTGTGGACGCCCTTGCTTTTTCTTTTCTTTTTTTTTTTTTAAGATTTATTGCCAGTGATCGAATTCATGCCTCAATGGCTGGCAATAGCTTGATAGCGCTGAGATTTTAACCCTTGCGCCACCAGGGAGGCCCTCCCTTGCTCTCTTTCAATTCTAGCTCTGGGTTGTTGGAACTGGCAACCCTTCTCTGACTCATCCCTGTCTCTGGGCTGCTTCACTCAGGCCTGACAATCTGAAACAATCTACCTCTGCCTCCAAAAGGACTCAGAATCCTTTAAGAAAATGGTCTTTCTGGGTTTCCCTTGTGGCGCAAGGGGTTAAGTCTCAGCTCAATGAAGCTATTGGCAGCCTCTGCAGCACAAGTTCGATTCCCCAGCCAGGGAGCTGACCCACATGGCACAGCAGACCTCTCCTGTCTCACCCACTGCTCCTCTCAGCAGTGTATTTCAGTAGATCCACCTATTCTGTTCCCCACTCTGTCTCTGGTGTATCCTCTCACCGCCCTGCACCTCTGGCCTACACCCCAGTTCTTGGATGCATAAATAAAATAAACCTTTAAAAAAAAGAAAACGGCCTTTCTATAGGGCTTGTCACTCCCTACTACTACCATATGGCCCCCATCAACCCCTCCCTGCCCAGTGAGGCAGCCTGGAAAGCTACATCACTTGAAGTAGCCAGAGCACTGGCCTGGGAGCTTGGAGGTCCAGACCTGCTCGCCTTTTGGTTATTGATCATTGATCTTGTCCTAGCCACCTCCTTTGAAATGAAGATAACTCCAGTCCTGGCCTCCTGCTGCAGCTGCTGCCCTGACCTGTAACATCAAAGGG